TGGGTGCTGTTCCCTCCTCTTCTTCGCAGCCACACGTGGCTGAGCCGAGGCACAGGACCAGCGCTCCGGGGGAGGCCAGGCGGCCGGCGCCTCTCCGGGAGCCGCCGCTTGAGCTGGGGGGATCCCAAAGGTGCTGTGCGTTTTCATTGGGATACTCTCAGGTTCAGGGGACCAAATCTTTCAAACTTTCTATTTCGATCTTGGAGGTTCAGCTTAGGGTTTATGCCAAGGGTTTGAGGCAGCTTTTCAAGGTCCCGAGACGACAAGCCTACGGTCTCTTTTTCAAGTTCAATCTTCGCCCTCCCGGCCGCTACCAGTGCACAAGGCAGAGGGCCCGTCGGCATCGTAGTATCCGGACCTCGGCCCACTCAAGCTTCTGACGAACCAGGCCCGGTCAGAATCGCAGAGCATTTGATTAAAATATGTTAAAAGACATTAGCAGTGTGACACAGCTGAGCCTCTGGCTGCTGACTGCCGTCCTGACCTTCGTGTACGAAGACGCACTGCGTGCTGGCATCGCAGCACTCTACCTCGACCAGTGTCAACAACATCCCACACGTTTGCCACAACTTCGCCGGCCGCAGGCCTGGCACTGGCTCAGATAACCTCAGGACGACATATGCTATCGACGTTTAGGGCAACGCCGAAAAGGCTAGCACGAGACGACGGATACCCTTCTTTTGTATGGGAAGAAAGCGCATCGCGCCGGGTCCGTCGCCTCCGCCCAAAACTAGGCTGGCCGGCGCCGGGGAAGCTTTGAGCTACCCGCCCGGCGCTCCCCACCCCCACACAGCGCCGGCACAGCCGAACTACCGGAAAACTCAAATAGCGCAAGCTCTCAGCTCCGCCGATGCTCCGTGGATGGCGAACTCGAGGTCGCCAGCAGTCTTGGCCAGGATGGCGCAGATTCTGGCCGCCGGCGTGCTTACCCTAGTCCAGCCCATCGCCTCGGCCGTGGCCAGGTCGCCGCGGGACACAGCATCCGCCACATTGGCCTTTGAAGGTACCCGCCGGAAATCGGGTAGCCAGTTCATCTCCGCTGCTTGGGACCAGAACGCCGCCAGGACGCCGTTGACCGCGGGGTCCCTCCCGTAGCCCTTGGTGAGGGCCCACTGGCCGGCGACGTTATCAATGAACGCCAGCCAGCGTTCCGGTAACCGCCGCGCCAGCGTTGTCAACGCCAGGACCTGGGCGACGATCTCGAGCACATAGATGAAAGCCCGCCTGGAGCCGAACGCCACCAGGAAGGAGGATGGCGCCTGGCCGTAGTCATAGTAGGTCTCGCCGCCGACTCTGACCACGTATCCCCAGCCGTTCTTGCCGCGTGCCCCTTTTGGTGTGGGCAGGTCCGCCGGCAAGAAGCCCGCCTTGTGCTTGACCTCGCCTGGCTGGAAGAACGCGTCCGCGTACACCAGGGCCTGCGGGGCGCCGTCGTCGACGAACGGCACAAACCGGGGCCGGATGTTCTTGAGTAGCTGCCGGAGCGCCCGGAGGGCCGCCGCCAACCCCAACGACAGTTCTGGGGATGACTCCGCCGCCGCGTCGTGGGCTCTGGCGTAAAGCGGCTTCAACGCCGCCTTGCCGAGGCAGCCGAATGTGGACTGGGACGCGAAGCTCAGCTTGCCCGCCAGCTTCTGCGCCGCGTGCGGCTGAAGGGCATTCGTCTCCAGCGCCGCCTCGATGGCCCGGAGGAGCTTAGCCACCCTAGAGGGGGTGGGTCGCAGGGACACGCCGTCCGCCTCGATCGTCATTTCCACTCCTTGGACCACGTGCCGGGCCGCCGGCTCCTGGGCCTTCGACGGCTTGGTCTGCAGGCCGAGCTCCAGGAAGAGGTCCGCCAGGGAGTGGAAGGCCGACTCTGCGAGCTCCGGGAGGTCGACGCCGTTAAAGTCGTCCACGAAATGGCCGCCGACCAGCCACAGCAGGACGCGGGTCAGCGCCTGCATCGCGTCCGCGGCCCTGTTAAAATTCCAAACCGACGCCGCGGCTCCAAAACACATGGCCAGGTGAAACCAGAGTGTCAGCCCAGCCGGTGTCGCCAGGAACGTGCCGGAGTGGGCCGGGTGCCGGACTGCCCACTGCCGGTAGGCATTGAGCAGGTCGTGCCCGAACAGCCTGGCCGCCGGGACCCGAAAAAGCGATGTCGAGCCGGGACAGCTGCCGGCACGACGAATCGCTCATGTCCATGCGCACACACGTGTGCTACACAGCAAAGAGACAGCTCGAGACATCAGTTCAACACCTCAAGACTCCTAAGAAATGCTTCGGAACTTAACTGACGACTGCAGGAAATGACACGACAAACACTCACGCTCGCGACGTCATGGGCAGCCCACTTTCGCAAGCATTCCGGCACGGTCTGAGGAAGGGGATCTGAGCTCCGGCTTTGCATCCCGCCTGACATGGCAGAATATGCACAATCAAACAGGACAGAATCACACCTTTGTTGTTCTACGGGCTGTCTTAGCCATCCATGTGTTCAGTCATGTTACAAACTGCAGCGATGCAGTGAAAGGTATAAGCAAGAAGCTGCGCGATTGCACCAAAAACATCAGGACAAACCTCCTCCGGCACCAGAAAGAAACATTGCGAGACCCCTTACAAGCCCTGGAAGTGCACACACATCCGTCCCATTGACCTCGTTCTTGGGGAAGTAGGTGAGGCAAGTGAGCCTGGGCTGATCTGGGCTGAGGCGTGGCTCTGGAGAAAGAGCCTATGAGTCTGCCGGCCTGTGCTACTTGACAGTCGTTGAAAAGCGAAAGGTCTCCAACGCCCCATTTTCGATTAGCAAGCAGCTTGTATACGCTCTGCACGCAGATGTCCTCTGTCTCGTTCGGTCTTCGGAACTCCCACGCCTGCGGAAACATGCTGTCGCTAGCAACGAGTTGTAGCATTTTGGTAATTCATGAAATCCGATCCTTTTCAGGATACACTTCACTAAGACAGCCACACTCGAATGCGCGAACAGGACTGGAAAATGCTCGAAGAGCCAACGCCCCGAGAAGCCGACGTCATAGCCCAATGCGCTAAGATGGTAGAAGAACATCGTTGAGGCTGCGCCTCGGTTTCACTCTCCAATGCCCACTGCACGCAAGACCTTTGTGACTGTGGCCACATGCAAAATGGCTGCAGACATCACTCTAAGGTTGGGCGGGGGCCTATGACCCTGAATATGCTGTGAGGCAACACGGGTGCCAAGGACAAAACCAAAAGCGGCTGCTAGCGGAGGCTGCAGTTCATACCACTCCTTTGGTCTTACTGTTTCACCTGAGGTCGGAACTATCCTGAGCCGCCACGATCTTATCCAGCGTGGTGCTTTGATTTCCAGATGGAATGGCTGCGTCGTAGTCCAAAGCATCCTGAGGTTGTCCCTACATGACCACGGAAGATGTTAAGCTGCTCCTGGCACAAGGTGCAGGATGCATTTCTGTTTGCTGCTGGTCACCACGCTAATAGAGCCGCGACACCCTGCAGAACTTGACATTCTTCTTCACCTGGACATGAAGGTCTGCCAAACTGTTATGCAGCGCACTTCGAACGACAGGCCTCACCCTCTGGCGAGCACTGCCAGATCATGGTCGCTAGCCTCCAAAGTTTCCATGTTTTGAGCCAGAGTCTCTCGCCTAGAGCAGTGCCTCGGGATGTCCATCAAGCCGGGTGCGAAAGGATTCACGCACGAGTTCTGCAGGCCTTGGCTGGGACAGCAGGGAAGGTCTTGGAACTGGAATCTTGCTGGGACGGCTCTAAAGATTCTGCTCAGGGCATTGACCCGGTGAGGTCACGTCGCTCACATCCAACTGCGAGTCTCTACTGTACCCCAGTGTTACAGGGACTCCCTCCTGCATTGAATCAAGATGCAGACTGGATTGGTCGTGTAAAGCATGTCATTGTCAAGCGCACCGGCCAGATTAGCCAGCTTCACCTTCAAAGGTGACTGACAGTCTGGGTAGGCTACTGTGCGCACACGCAAACTACGAGGCCTGTGATGGCTTCCTGGGCCGCAACCACATAACTACAACTACCCGTCAACTGTTGACGACGATACCGCAAAGTCGAAATTGGAGAACACTTTCTTCAGGGTAGTTGCCGCGGGCTGGAAGCACGTCGCGGAAACGTTTAAGCAATGCGCATCTTTGAGACTTGTTTTCTCCAGGTTTTCGGCGGTGATGCATCTTTAGCGTGCTGTGGACATCTGTGCACCGCGCATGCATATCCTGCGATTCTACCACACACGGTTTTGATCTGGTGGCTCACAACTAAAGTGAATTGGTAAACCACAACTCCGGTAAGCTCCACAGCTCTAGCTTCTGTGACTACGCACGGGCCGCACCGCGCCCCCTACAGACAGGAAGGCGATTCGGGCCTGTGCAGCATCGGCCACCCGTGCAACAGGAAGCCAGAGCAGTGTCCGCAGGGTTACGGTCACCATCCTCGGCTGTGCACGCTCGGCTTGGTCGGCTCAAGCCCTGGCCACAGAAGCCAAGCTGCTAAGAATTCACTATCCTTGGTGCAGAGAGCAGAGAGCAAGTCCGCTGCGAAAGGCTCAAGACGGAAGGCTTTGGGACTGGTGAGCCGAGCGACTAATGGGCTCCTGGAAGGGTCGTGGAACAACCCACAGGAGAGAGCCTAAAAGGCTGCAACGAGCGGGAGTTCTGAGTCCTGTCGAAGCACGCGGCTCATGCCAATTGAACAGAGCCATGGACGAAGACCCCAGCAATAAGGAGCCGCCACAAATGCATGTCACACTATGATTTTTTCGGCGGACCAAGTTCATCCACCAAAGTTGCCAGTCCTGCACCTTTCGGTGTCTGGAAGTCATTGGCTATTGGCCACTCTTGACCTATTGGCGAAACATCACAGCTGCCTACATGAAGGTTTCCCGGAGCTGCGCTAGCTGCACAGCAAAAAGGCATGCGCAAACCGCGCAGTCTCCCACCACAGCCTTGATGGCTGGCACGGCATTTCCCAAAACTAGTCAGCTGCTCGGCTCACTCCTGACTTCACTTGGAGAGGATGCCAAGAGCCTTCTGGCCCATGAGGTCGCCGTACTTCTTGGCCTCCGCCTTGTCCTCCTCCGTGATGTCGTCGAAGGAGGCGTTGGGGGTGTCATCCTTGCAGTAGGCGGCCAGGCACCTCGAGATGCCCACGCAGGAGCAGTTGAACTCGCCGACGATCCACTTCTCCTCCTCCTTGGGCGTGCCCTCGGGGGAAGCCAAGATGAAGTCCGTGGTCCACCACAGAGGCACGGGCTCCTCTGCCAGCTCCAGGGACGGCATCACCTTCGGCAGGTCCTGCCAAGGGCACCGAGATGCAACGGGGCCGCGTAAAGCATGCACGTCACTTAGAAAATGCAAGCAGTCAGCGAGGCCCGACCCGCTACCTGAACGCAAGCCGACTCCCCTCGCCCCCCGCCCGCCTTCTGCAGGAAGTTGTCGGTCAGCGTCTTGAAGGATACCTCCTCGGGGCCGTAGTAGGTGTAGATGGAGCCGGTGCCGCCCACGGCGGAGATGCCGCCCTCCTTGGGCTTCTTGTGGATGATGCCCACCAGCGAGTCCACGATGAGGTTGTAGCGGAGCTCACCTGCGCTGCCACAAGCTACCAACAGAACCTAGCACCTAGCCACTCATCGCAGCGCAGACCGAGATCTACGAACAGACGAGGAGTCGGGAACAGCCGGCCTTCCACGATGCGCGGGCAGAAGCGCTGGTCCACGAGCTGGCCACCGGCCTCCTTGCCGCCCTCGAGGTACTTTCCGACGCCCTTGGAGGTCCACTCGCCGGACTTGTCCGAGCGGCCGCTCACGCAGAACTCGATGAACTCGGCGACGGTGTGGGTCTCCTCGTGGTTGTCGTTCGCCTCCATCAGCTTCAGGACCTCGCCATCCTCGCAGGACCGCTCACCGTACTCCTTGCAGTAGTTGCCCTCGGCCAGCTTGATGATCCAGATGCCCTCGCCGGAAGAGCCGCGGTTCTGCTTGATCACACGCGGCTGGAAGGCCATGGTCTTCTTGAAGCCCGCGGCCTTAGACCGACGCGACATCGTGGTGGGAACATGACGACTCATATTAACCAAACACAAGCTTGGGCCACCACGAACTCGTCAGGACTGTAGTAAGCCAAGGTGTCCTCGAGCCCGATGTTCAGAGTTGCCACCTCCGACGCAGAAGCAGAGAAGCCGTTGACTGGCCCTTTTCCGGGCTTTGGCCAGCCTTGCACAAAGCGTCCTTGGCGCCCATCTTCTCCATCACATCCGGAGAGGGCCAGACCTGCTGCCGGATAGACAAGCATGTTCACGGGCCTTGCGAAAGAAACACTGAGTTCCGCTGATACACACACTTACACGCCACCTGGATGCCGGCTTTACGCATCTCACGCATCCCGTCGTCGAACTTCTGCTGATCTCCACCGTCTGCCTTGATCTGGCCTGCTGCGAAGCGACAGGACTGACACTGTCGAACTCCCGACGGCATGCCCAGGATTGTAAAGGTTCGTCTGAGGCCTGGATTGCAGCGGACGATGATGAAGTTGAAGCTCTTGCACAACTCGAAGAATGCAGTGTGCTCTTCATGCGTGTAGTGAATCCTTGCTGGACTACCACCCGGTGCAACGCATCACAGGCAGCGATACAGGTGTAGGTTTCTGGACTCCGGGCAGGCTCATCATGAGCCGGTCTGCCGGCAAGAATCAATTGGCAGCTCATGCCGGAAGTGATCATGCCATTGGCGAAGGGAATGGAGTCATAGCGGTGGCCTGAAGGACGGAGGAGTGGTAAGTGGGTTTCATGTGGCAGGAGACGTCTGACTGGTGCTGACAGCATGTGCACAAGCAGAGGATCAACAAATTGTTCAGGTCAAAAGACGCTACAAACGACCTGGATGCTCAAGACACTGAGGAGACAGCCATTGTTGCTCTTGTCGGATCCTGGGCACGGCCATGCTGTGTGTTACAGTAGCCAAGGGAGTATAAGTTACGATCTCAGAACAACTTTTTGTCAGCCCGCCTCCGTAGGGCTGCGAGCGGACGAAGATTTGAGCCAGAGCTCCCTGGAAGGTGCCGAAGGTCCAAGCAGGCAGGCCCCAGTACGCCTTGAGCTCTCCGAGCCTTGAACTTTGGTTCCGCAGGCTGCTCCAACAAGCCCTTGTAGTCCTGGGCGAAAAGGGATACCGGCAGGAAAGGGCTAGCAGACTTTCACAAAGCCGGCAGAGTGTTGAGTTGACCATGTCGTGCCTTTCCAACGACCGAAATCTTGGAGCAGTCGACCGGGCCCGGGCAGGCAGCTGGCAAGGAGGGGCATACGCGGTTACGCTTCGCGCTGATGCTCGAGTTATGCCAAGTAAGGCCGCCGGCCTGGCCTGCAGGAGCACCTGCGCAGAGTCGCAGAATGTCTTTTATATAGCACCGTCGGAACGTCGGAGCAGAAACTGGCTTGAACAGTCTTGAACATCTGGCTGTGCCTTTGCCCACTGCCTCCTTGACCTTTGCCAGCTGGTCTGCGGGGAGCTCCTACAAACGGGTCTCGAAAAGCACAGCTGCGAAGCCTCGGTCGTGACCCTAAGCCTTCAGAGCCGCCGCGATCTCATCAGCCGACTTCCCCTCGATGGCATTCTTCACTTCGCTGGAAGCGGCACCCCTGGGCTCTGCCAGGCTCGGAAAGGCAAGCAAACACCTTCAAGAGATGCGATTGCAGACGCGTGGCCCCATGTCCGTGGGAAAAGGGTAGAGGTGTGATCGAAGCACGTCACAGGTGTTGAGCCGCAAACTGCAACGGACACAAACCTCAACATCAGGGCAAAAGCCGCAGCATCAGATAAAGTTGCAGGCTTCAGTTGGTTCCCTGTTTCCCAGATCGGACACTTCATCCATCTGAGACTTGTACAGTCACACTTTGAGTGGAAGTCTCATGCAAGGTTCGTACAGGTTCCTGCAGAAACCCGTGTGATTAAAACGGGCTCGGCAAGATCGTCGTGGCCCCTTGGAGCTTTCATGCCGGGCTCAAGGGACGAAAATATGCCAGGCAAGTTGTGAAACCAGTCTGCGAGTCTGGGCTCAGCCAGTAAGAATTCCAAGAGCCTTCTGGCCCATGAGGTCGCCGTACTTCTTGGCCTCCGCCTTGTCCTCCTCCGTGATGTCGTCGAAGGAGGCGTTGGGGGTGTCCTCCTTGCAGTAGGCGGCCAGGCACCTCGAGATGCCCACGCAGGAGCAGTTGAACTCGCCGACGATCCACTTCTCCTCCTCCTTGGGCGTGCCCTCGGGGGAAGCCAAGATGAAGTCCGTGGTCCACCACAGAGGCACGGGCTCCTCTGCCAGCTCCAGGGACGGCATCACCTTCGGCAGGTCCTGCCAAGGGCACCGAGATGCAACGATGCCCCGCGTAAAGCATGCACTTCACTTAGAGAAAGCAAGCAGTCAGCGAGGCCCGACCCGCTACCTGAACGCAAGCCGACTCCCCTCGCCCCCCGCCCGCCTTCTGCAGGAAGTTGTCGGTCAGCGTCTTGAAGGATACCTCCTCGGGGCCGTAGTAGGTGTAGATGGAGCCGGTGCCGCCCACGGCGGAGATGCCGCCCTCCTTGGGCTTCTTGTGGATGATGCCCACCAGCGAGTCCACGATGAGGTTGTAGCGGAGCTCACCTGCGCTCCCATCCGACAAAATGCCACAGACTGCCACAGGCTACCCACAGAACCTAGCACCTAGCCACTCATCGCAGCGCAGACCGAGATCTACAAACGGGAGCAGCCGGCCTTCCACGATGCGCGGGCAGAAGCGCTGGTCCACGAGCTGGCCACCGGCCTCCTTGCCGCCCTCGAGGTACTTTCCGACGCCCTTGGAGGTCCACTCGCCGGACTTGTCCGAGCGGCCGCTCACGCAGAACTCGATGAACTCGGCGACGGTGTGGGTCTCCTCGTGGTTGTCGTTCGCCTCCATCAGCTTCAGGACCTCGCCATCCTCGCAGGACCGCTCACCGTACTCCTTGCAGTAGTTGCCCTCGGCCAGCTTGATGATCCAGATGCCCTCGCCGGAGGAGCCGCGGTTCTGCTTGATCACGCGCGGCTGGAAGGCCATGGTCTTCTTGAAGCCCGCGGCCTTAGACCGGGAGTGCTACGATGCTGCGCGGCCATACACCACACAGGCCACCTGCGGCTTTCTCGGGCCCGAGCGAAGTCCTCTGGCGAATAGTATGCCAGCGTGTCCTCCAGGCCAATGTTCAGTGTGGCCACCTGCGCACGGCACTGCAGAGTGAGATCTCACCCTGACAGTGGGCTTCAGACTTCAGGCTTGCGTCCAGGAGCTTTCGGCCTTGCACAGGGCGTCCTTGGCGCCCATCTTCTCCATGACGTCCGGAGAGGGCCACACCTTTCAAGTCAACTACGTTGACCTCTTGGCTTTGGCTCGACAGCCTCGGGGTTTCTCGCCCACTTAGGGAGTCCGGCTGCTGCTTCTTGCACTACTGCGGCAGAAAAGAAGGAAACAAGTTTCGGCCAACTCTCCAGATTGATCTAAACAACCTTGAACGAATGATTCACCGAACTCATTCTACAGGACGTAAAAACTGAAGCATGGCCCTCTGTGCATGCAGGGATGTCCAGAAGTCCTTTGCTACCTTTATTTCTACGAGTGTGACGTGCAAGATGTTTCTTCCTTGCTCTGCTCCATCTCTGCGCATGGGCCTGGATGCCGGCTTTACGCATCTCGCGCATCCCGTCGTCAAACTTCTGCTGGTCTCCGCCATCAGCCTTGATCTGGCCTGCAGAGGGCGAGAAGACTGTAACACACGGACGAGGGATGACGTAGTAGCGACACCTGGATTGCAGCGCACGATGATGAAGTTGAAGCTCTTGCAAAGTTCAAAGAACTTGTCATGCTCCTCGTGGCTGTAGTGGATCCTCAGTTGGGTAGGATGGTTTGGGGTTGAGGTAGTCGACTTTTCCAAGACTCAGCAAGATGCACCCACTACCCTTTACGTGCACACCAAACCCGTGTTCGATCCGCATCGATATACAGGGCTGCTCCTTTGTCGGCACGCGGGACATCAACACGAGTCACGAATATTCAGCGCTGCCAAGACCGGAACCGAATCCCTACACACAGCATCGTCCGACCTCAAGACAACATTTGTCTGTTCTAAGTTCTAAGGTATCCGAGCACAAGCAGAAGCCGATGAAGAGGGAGCAAACGAATCGGGACGGATGCTTGCGTGAACAGCTTCCAGATCTCATCCTAGCGTCAACTGGCAGCTCATGCCTGCAGTGATCATACCGTTTGCGAAGGGGATGGAGTCATAGCGGTGGCCTCAAAGACGGGTCGTGAGCCGTGAAGATTTCCACAGAGGGCTCTTGGAATGGACTCCCCGACTGAGTTACAGATGTAAGTGCTAGAGCTGGCAGCTCGCTCTTAGTCCTCGACCGTTGTTGCTCTTGTCAGAACCTGGCACAAACCCGAACATCTCTCCTTACCCATCATGGTTGCTGCAATTCTGATGCTGCGTCTCAGCACATCATCACATTGTCACCATCATCACCATCAGCAGCAACAGCATCAGGAGCAGCGGCAGATTCAGCAGCTTCTTCGTTGTCATGAGAATCTGCGAGTAGATGCTCTGTGCAGAAGAACCTCCATATGGCTGGCTGCGCACGAAGATCTGCGCCAAGGCGCCCTGCCAGAGCCGCAAGCCGTGCAGCTCAGGACAAATGGCTTCTCGCAGTGGTTCTCGCTGGTACAGACTTGGCCGGGCCTTGAACTTGGGTTCAGCTGGCTGATCCATCAAGCCCTTGTAGTCCTGAGACACAACGATGACAGATCTAGCAAAGGACAGCGGCGTGGAATTAGAGCCTGGCCTACCATTTCAGTCAGAGCCGCTGCAAGTTATCCGCCGAGGCCACAGGCCCAGGCGTCTTGGGGGTTACCTCAGGTACCCTCCACCTAATCCTCCTCCCTGCGTCCAAATGTTTGGAGACACCCTGTTTTTGCGTTCATTTGCCACCCCCTTGTCCGGCTTCCCTTCATTTTACCTGATTTGTCGGCCTCCCCCCCCCCCCCCCCCCCCCCCCCCCCCCCCCCCCCCCCCCCCCCCCCCCCCCCCCCCCCCCCCCCCCCCCTCCCCTGGAGCCAGGCGGGAAGATGGCGTTTCCGCACTTGGGTATCAACAACCGTGTAAAGGTTGGGGTTGAGAGGCCCCCCTAGCATGTATACAACATCGACTGCCCCCGCACCCTGCCGCTAAAGAGCCGAGGCGGGCGGCGTAGCGTTAAAATTACTGGGCGCTGGAAAATTACCGCTGAAAATGCACTACACTCTCTGCCGCTTAAGAGACCAAGAGCTGGTGGCGAGAGTATAGCAGCATAGCATGGCAGCACGGTCCTTGGCCACCACCTTGATGCTGCTGCAATTCACCGGGCCCGGGCAGGCGGCAGCACCTGTTTATAAAATCCTTAAAGTCTCGTTTCGCTTCGCTGCCCACTCCCACTGCCCACCTGCTGCTGGGGCGGGAGCTGGTGCGGGGCTTTCTGCCAGGGCTTCCTTGAGCGGATGTGTATGAAGAGACTCTCATGTCGAGGCATACGATGTACGAAGGGGATTTCAATCAGAGGAGCCGCCAGTGACTAGAGGTCTAGCGCTTCAGGAATGCAAGAGACCGGAGTTAGGCCCAGTTAGGCCTTGATCAGAGCGAGCTGGTCCGCCGGCAGCTCCTTTTTGCAGGCCAGAAATCATGAACAACTGCACCTGAATTGCGTTGCACAACGCCTCCCTGGGATGTTGATAGATTTGTGCAGACACCAGGCAACACCATTCTACCGGATATCTCCAGCACCTGCACAAGGCCTACTTCGGCTTCGGAGGAGCGTCCTTGAGAGCGGCCGCAATCTCTGCAGCGCTTTTGCCCTCGAGGGCAATCTTTGCATTCGAGGACGCACCAGATCTCAGTGGAGCATCGAAGACTCAGGAGCACGATGGAGCACGAGCACCCTGTGCTTAATCAGCTTCCCAGGCTGCCAGGGACTGAATTTGGAACTGAAATTCCCTGCGTGAGACTTTAAGCGAGGCCAAAGTGCGAGCCACCAAGCCCCAATGAATCCTAGATCCTAGTCGGAACCAGCTCAACCCTTGCAGGCTGAGGGGCCCCATGATGAGGTACGAGCTGCGAGGCAAGAGAGTTTGGAGTGCCTGTGACGCTTCTTGAGCCTGGAAATGTCCATCAGAGCGATGTGGATGATGTGGCTGGGGGGGCAGTGGGTCTGATGGATACAGATGGATACAGGGACCTGCAGGATGCCAGGGCTCAGTAGCCTCCTCTTTTTATCTCAGACTGGAAGCTTCATCCGCCTGAGACTGGCACAGTCACAAACACCTTCAGTGGAAGTCCCATGCAAGTTGAAGTTGGGACAGAAACTGTCCCCAGGGGGCAGAAGGGCCAGCAGATTCGGGAGCAGAGAGACCTCCGGGATGGCTTTTGGCCAGCGGAAGGCTCGGACTCTCAGTCTGTCGACGTTCAAAAGACGTCGAGAGACTGCGTGACACAAGGCCAGCCCTCAGCCCCCTTGCGGCTGCCATTTTACTTGGAGAGGATGCCAAGAGCCTTCTGGCCCATGAGGTCGCCGTACTTCTTGGCCTCCGCCTTGTCCTCCTCCGTGATGTCGTCGAAGGAGGCGTTGGGGGTGTCCTCCTTGCAGTAGGCGGCCAGGCACCTCGAGATGCCCACGCAGGAGCAGTTGAACTCGCCGACGATCCACTTCTCCTCCTCCTTGGGCGTGCCCTCGGGGGAAGCCAAGATGAAGTCCGTGGTCCACCACAGAGGCACGGGCTCCTCTGCCAGCTCCAGGGACGGCATCACCTTCGGCAGGTCCTGCCAAGGGCACCGAGATGCAACGGGGCCGCGTAAAGCATGCACTTCACTTCGAAAATGCAAGCAGTCAGCGAGGCCCGACCCGCCACCTGAACACAAGCAGACGCCCCTCGCCCCTCGCCCGCCTTCTGCAGGAAGTTGTCGGTCAGCGTCTTGAAGGATACCTCCTCGGGGCCGTAGTAAGTGTAGATGGAGCCGGTGCCGCCCACGGCGGAGATGCCGCCCTCCTTGGGCTTCTTGTGGATGATGCCCACCAGCGAGTCCACGATGAGGTTGTAGCGGAGCTCACCTGCGCTGCCACAGGCTACCCACAGAACCTAGCCCCTAGCCACTCATCGCAGCGCAGACCGAGATCTACAAACGGGAGCAGCCGGCCTTCCACGATGCGCGGGCAGAAGCGCTGGTCCACGAGCTGGCCACCGGCCTCCTTGCCGCCCTCGAGGTACTTTCCGACGCCCTTGGAGGTCCACTCGCCGGACTTGTCCGAGCGGCCGCTCACGCAGAACTCGATGAACTCGGCGACGGTGTGGGTCTCCTCGTGGTTGTCGTTCGCCTCCATCAGCTTCAGGACCTCGCCATCCTCGCAGGACCGCTCACCGTACTCCTTGCAGTAGTTGCCCTCGGCCAGCTTGATGATCCAGATGCCCTCGCCGGAGGAGCCGCGGTTCTGCTTGATCACGCGCGGCTGGAAGGCCATGGTCTTCTTGAAGCCCGCGGCCTTAGACCGGGAGTGCTACGATGCTGCGCGGCCATACACCACACAGGCCACCTGCGGCTTTCTCGGGCCCGAGCGAAGTCCTCTGGCGAATAGTATGCCAGCGTGTCCTCCAGGCCAATGTTCAGTGTGGCCACCTGCGCACGGCACTGCAGAGTGAGATCTCACCCTGACAGTGGGCTTCAGACTTCAGGCTTGCGTCCAGGAGCTTTCGGCCTTGCACAGGGCGTCCTTGGCGCCCATCTTCTCCATGACGTCCGGAGAGGGCCACACCTTTCAAGTCAACTACGTTGACCTCTTGGCTTTGGCTCGACAGCCTCGGGGTTTCTCGCCCACTTAGGGAGTCCGGCTGCTGCTTCTTGCACTACTGCGGCAGAAAAGAAGGAAACAAGTTTGGGCCAACTCTCCAGATTGATCTAAACAACCTTGAACGAATGATTCACCGAACTCATTCTACAGGACGTAAAAACTGAAGCATGGCCCTCTGTGCATGCAGGGATGTCCAGAAGTCCTTTGCTACCTTTATTTCTACGAGTGTGACGTGCAAGATGTTTCTTCCTTGCTCTGCTCCATCTCTGCGCATGGGCCTGGATGCCGGCTTTACGCATCTCACGCATCCCATCGTCAAACTTCTGCTGGTCTCCGCCATCAGCTTTGATCTGGCCTCTGCAAACTCTGATCTCAGCAGTGGACAATGAGCCGAGCAGAACTGCCAAAGTATCTCCACTTCCAGTAGCTGCTGACTTGCAGAGACCGTCAGCAAGCATTATCCGCAGTATCAAAAAAACGCATCGAGGCACTCCGGCTGACGGATGCCACTCTGAATAAAACTGTGCAGAACGGCCTGGGTTGCAGCGAACAATGATGAAGTTGAATGCCTTGCATAGCTCGAAGAACTTGTCGTGCTCCTCGTGGGTATAATGGATCCTCATGAGCAGTGATAGAGCATTCAGGACAGGCCCCTTCCCACTGTCCGACCCGAATTCCGTTTTGCAGTTTTGCGCCGCGACCGCAACCATCGCTTGTGGCTTAACTGCAACGTTCAACATGTTCAAGCTTGGCGCGCCAAGTCTGATCGGATGCCGGGGGGCAGCTGACAGCTCATCCCAGAAGTGATCATGCCATTGGCGAAGGGGATGGAGTCGTAGCGATGACCTGTGCTGGCAAAAGCCTCCTATCCAAAAGCAGGGCTCCTGTTGAGATCAGTAGATTCTCGACTCCAGGCAACATATCGGAAGCTAGTGTTCCCCTTTCTTGACACTCCACATCTGGTTCGTCCTTCGTCCGGGCACCCGGCCGTTGTTGCTCTTATCAGAGCCTCACACCAGCAAAGGCTAGGGAAGCTCCCGTCTCCCTCTATACACGCAGACTCAGAGGCATGCACGACCCTCTAAAAGCATGAACACAGAACCAAACCGAACAAGCACACACTCCCGCTCCACTGCTCAATACTGTGGGACTGTGGGCACTATTAACTATTGATCTTCAGTCTTGTAGTTGTCGTGCAGTTGTCATGCACGGCTCAATCGGTCTCTTCTCGTTCTCTGTGTTCATTTGACGATTGGAGCAATGGCTTTTTATGCTGCTGCTGTCCTTGAGATCAATAGGCTTATCGAGATCATGAACACCGCAAACATTTCATGTTTTCTCGTTGGGTCGCGTATCATTATTTGAACACTTAATTTTTACTTGTAGTGCTGATGGCCTGCTTCATCTTGTCGATTCAAGAGCCAAGAACAAAAAGGCATTGACAAAACCATGCAATACGTCTGTGGCCCTGTTGGACACAGGGTTATGTGCTACCGCTTTTTGCGTGCATCTTCAGCATTGTGTGTGCGTGTGCGTGTGCGTGTGCGTGTGCGTGCTTGTGCGTGTGCGTGTGCGTGTGTGTGCGTGTGCGTGTGCGTGTGCGTGTGCGTGTGCGTGTGCGTGTGCGTGTGCGTGTGCGTGTGCGTGTGCGTGTGCGTGTGCGTGCGTGTGCACGCGTGCGTGTGTGTGCGTGCGGACGTGCGGGCGTGCGGGCGTGCGGGCGTGCGGGCGTGCGGGCGTGCGGACGTGCGGGCGGGCGGGCGGGCGTGCGGGCGTGCGGGCGTGGGGGCGTGCGGGCGTGCGTGCGGGCGGGCGGGCGGGCGTGCGTGCGTGTGTGTGATGTTGCGTGTTTATGTGTACATCGCGGTTTGGGTCATAATTTTGGATCGCATAGTTTACTGCTTAATGCATGTTTTTGTCATAATTCGCGTGTTGTTGGTGTGTATGCTCCATTCATGCAGAGGACGTGATAATTGTCCTACATCCTACGACGTGTTCCACAATAAACACATGTACAGGAACCGCCGCACCTCCATATGGCTGGCTGCGCACGAAGATCTGTGCCAGAGCTCCCTGAAAATCGGAACGTCGACTTACTATCTCTTTATTTCATTGCTTCTTTCGCCAGTGGCGTCAGATCCTCGTACACCCTCAACCCCATGGCCTTGAACTTGGGCTCAGCAGGCTGCGCCATCAGCCCCTTGTAGTCCTCGCACAGAGCTGAGAGCCATGTTCACGAGCACGTGCCACAACGCTCCAGGCACCCTGCCTTGGCCACCACCTTGACAGCGCTGCAGTCAACTGGTCCGGGACAAGGTCCCGCACCTGTGGACAACCATGCCGAAGTCGACAGTTTTCATGCGTGGCTAACACATGACGCAGCTCTGCTCCTGAAATCGATTTTATGTCCCAAGCCTGCATTCAAAGCCTCCTTCACCTTCGCGAGGTCTGCAGCAGGCAGCTCCTGCTACCAGTACACATTTGTCGCCTTGATACGCTGGGGCGTCGCCCTTCGGAGTCCCCGTTTTACTCGGGCCCAGGCCTTGAGCGCTGCTGCGATCTCCTCCACGCTCTTGCCCTCGAGCTCCTCTCGAGCGTCTACTCAGACGACTTCGAAAGCTACTCGTCTCGTACCCCCTCCTACTCGTACCAAGATGTACCAAGTACCAACCTGTCTCGAAGACTCGAGAAGACCTGAAGACATCCCCGCATTCCAATCCATGCAGCCTTCTTGGCATCGGTGGACGCAGCGCTCCTGAAGACGTCTTACGTGCAAGGTACGGACAGCGGACAGTACGTCCGACTCTGGCAACGGAACGATGAAGCCGAGATGCCCCATGATTGCGGAAGAGGGAAGGACGGAGCGATCCACAACAACTTCGGCGTTTGAGAAAGTCAGCCGCTGCGAGAAGAACAGAAATTACATGCCAGGAAACAGCATGCCGACCACCTGTCTGCATCACTCCGAGCACTGCGGAGGCTGATGACATGGACTTAATTTCCTTCTCAGCCCTGCGGAATGATTATTCCTCAGAAAAAGCCATCATCTGTTCGTGTATGGCTGCTGAAAGATACTTCTCGAGCTCTGCCTTGCTCTTGTAGCGAGGCAGCTGCAGAAGGTTGGAACATGTTGCTGCTGTTGGGTAAGAGCTTCTCACCTTAGCTTGCACTGGCTGCTCTTTCAAAGCAATCGTGAAAGGAATGTGCTCATCTTCAGACTTCATCAGCTTGAAGCCACCGATGGGAGCACAAGTCCTTCCTGTCGCGAAGCGTAGCAGCTGCTTCCTCTGCTGCAGGGACATAGATCTGACGACCTCCCAGAACCACCTTACCACCTTGGTCCGAGGAGTGCCTTGGCTGTCATAGCGCGTATGCCTCTGCCAGTCGTCGACATCAATGCCGTCTGTTCCTGACAATAGCTGGTCAAAGTCTTCGACGGTCAAGAACGTCCGTGCTGCTTGGATGAGGGCTGGCGGACAGAAATCATGAAATCCACGCTTGAGGCTTGCGAGAGCCTTCTCGTCAGACTTCATTCTGTGCTGGGCATAAAGTCGCAAGTACACCTCCAAGTTGCCCTTTGTGACAGCGATCTCCTCGCCACCAAGGACGAGATTGACCTTCCGTCTCTTGCCGAAGTGGGCATCATCGAGAGAGAAGTTCAAACCCAGAGCAAGGACTCCTTCCTCATCGTAGGCGCGCAACTGCACGAGGCGTCTGTAGAGCTCGGGGTCGAAATCCATCAGATCTTCGAAGGAGAAGTCCAGATCGAGGAGCTCTTTGAGGAAAGGTTTCGCAAAGTGCACAGGAAGGTGCTGCTCCTTCAACAGCGCAAAGCCGATCATCTTGCCCACAAGTTGCAAGTAGGAGTTCCGATACTCGTTCACGCAGGGTCGCGGAGACAGTGAAAGCCTTGGGGGGTCCGTGTCGGTGCAGACGAAGAGATTGTAGTTCTCGTTTGCCATCTCGCTCGAGAAGACGACGAAGAGCTCCCTCGTCAATCCCGAGCCTTGGCCAGTCTCGAAATCGAAATCAATCTCTTCCAGGTGAGGGGTCAGGTGCTCCATCTGTGGACACATAGACTGGAGCACCTGATCCCGATGAACTTCCAAGTGAGCGAGATCGAAATCTGGGTAAGGCGGGAGGGACGAGACCAGCAGCATGTCCAGTACTCCCCTGAACCACTCCGCCTTGGCTTGAAAGTTCTTGCACCGGAGCTGCGACACTTCCTGCAAGAGGAGTGGAGACAGTGCAGAATCCAGGACCTCAGGGCAAAGTGGCCCAGCAGGGCCGTCGCCGTTCTGGAAGAAGTTGAAGCACAGCACCTCGCATGGCCGCCGGCCTTCGTCGTCCAGCTTCTCCACATCGGCTCGGGCCTCAAGCAGCAAAGAGACCTGCTGGACCTGAGCGCAGGACCAAAGCCAAGGCCAACCCTGTACAGACTTATCTCTACAGCCACTGTTCCTTGCACCCATCTGCCAGACCCATCGAGCACCGGACGCCGTCCCGGCACTGGTAGTCGCCGATGTTGGCACAAAGCTCGTGGAGAGGTGTCGTGCCCATCTTGCTGACAGCATTCACATCCGCACGGGCCTGAAGCAGGACGTGCGCTGCAGGCAATGACCAGTTGGAGCAAAGATCATGCAGAGGTGAAAAGAGCTGGTTGGACTGCTGGTTGACATCGGCACGGCTCTCAAGCAGCACCATAATCATCTCAGATGATACCTTTTCGTTGGCGCAGAGGCAGAGAAGAGGGGACCTCCCACGCTTGTCCCGTGCATTGACATTGGCACGGTGCCCAAGCAGCGTGGAAAGCATCGGCGGCAATGTGCTCTCGTTGGCACACAATAGCCTCAGGTAGCAGAAAAAGAGGAGAGGTGGAGATCTCCAATTGTGGGCCTATGATGTCTTTCACGAGCCGTGACAGAGAGAGAGAGAGATAGAGAGAGAAAAAACGAGAGAGAGAGAGAGAGAGAGAGCTCATTCAAAGTCAAGTGCCAACACAGGTCGAGGAGCATTAACGGCGACCTCCCACACTTATCCCTAGCATTGACATCTGCACGGGCTTGAAGTAGATGGGATGAACAGGAAGCCAATTCCGAGATGCTCCTGCCAGGGGCACATCGAGTGAGTGGCGATCGTGCACTTACCTATGAAGTAACAATCTGAGCCTGTGCTCGAAAGGCTTCCACGCATTGCCTTGCGACTGCGGTCCCATTTTGTCTGCCGCACCTTCCCACTGTTCTGCAAAGATTGTGCAAAGGAGTCATGCCAGCCGTATCCTTCTTCTTGGCAGAGTGACCATCATTTAGCAATTTCTTTATCATCCCTTCTCGCCCCGCAGAGCGCCGAGCTAAGCATGCATTGTGCAAAGGTGTTGCACCAAAGGGGTCGCATGCATCACGCGGCGCACGCCGCATGTGGAAGACACCCCCAGGGGCACACGTTCAATTCGGATTACTGCACCATGACGATGCTACTTAGTTTCAGATATACCTTGGATGCCTCGTCCTGACGGAACGTCTACAAGTGTTGTCCTGCAGGATTGTCGATCCAAGAATCCATGTTTAGCTGCAAGTATCCCTACAATCAACGAGCAAGAAACTACTCTCACACCTTCAGTACATGCTTCCGTCCTTCTGCTGTGATACCCCTACCGGGTTGGCCTGTAAGCCTCTGAGCCAGGCCACGCATCCACTTTTGATCACTCTTGAAGTCACTGTTGCTTGCATGCAGCACTGAGGGCCCAGGTCCCCTGCACCCCAATGCATCCCGCAGGCTTTTTGCGGGCTCAAAGTGGACAGTTTATCCACCTGAGGAAGACAGTTCGGGATATCTTCAAATTCAAAGCGATTGTCGGCGACTCCTCCGATACGGAGCAGGAAAGGAGGAGCAACAGTTTGAACATGTCGCAGCTCCCTCCTGCATTGCAAGGACGATGGCGTTTAGACTCGGATGGACAGGCAGACATGCATACATGCATACATGCATACATGCACACATGCGGACATGCATACATGCATACATACATATCTATATATATACACACACATACATTCAATCATCCATCAGAACATCCCTCCATCCATGCATCCATCCGTCCATGAATGCAGACATGCATGCATACATGTGCGCGTACATACATGCGTACGCACGTACATACGTACATACAACCATACATGCATGCATACATCCAAACACCTGCATGCACACAAACATGCATACATACATACTTACTTACATACATAATTGTAAACATTCATACACTCGTACATTCGTGCATACATGCATACATGCACACGTATATACATACATGGCAGACAAATACAGGGATGGACGGACAGACAGACAAACACACAGATGAGCGATTATGACGTATGACACAAGTGTCTTCAGTGCTGAATGACACGCATACAGAAAAGACGATATGGAGCAATGAAAGGAGTCGATTATGGTCCTAGGCAGGTGACCATGAGCTTGAGACGCTGCGCCGCAAAGGCGTACGCACCATGCCAAGAAGCTTCTAGCAGTAAGCTCAGCCGACAGGAGTGCACCGGATAAGCTAGAACAACCTCGCACAACATGATAGCCTGAATACAGTGACACAAGAAGGAAAAACACTTACGGCCGGCTTTCGGCGCTGCGGGTGCTCACTGTGCAACCGCCTATGGGTGAGATCTCTTTACACAGCCACAAGCACTCACTTGGAGAGGATGCCAAGAGCCTTCTGGCCCATGAGGTCGCCGTACTTCTTGGCCTCCGCCTTGTCCTCCTCCGTGATGTCATCGAAGGAGGCGTTGGGGGTGTCATCCTTGCAGTAGGCGGCCAGGCACCTCGAGATGCCCACGCAGGAGCAGTTGAACTCGCCGACGATCCACTTCTCCTCCTCCTTGGGCGTGCCCTCGGGGGAAGCCAAGATGAAGTCCGTGGTCCACCACAGAGGCACGGGCTCCTCTGCCAGCTCCAGGGACGGCATCACCTTCGGCAGGTCCTGCCAAGGGCACCGAGATGCAACGGGGCCGCGTAAAGCATGCACTTCACTTCGAAAAAGCAAGCAGTCAGCGAGGCCCGACCCGCCACCTGAACACAAGCAGACGCCACTCGCCCCTCGCCCGCCTTCTGCAGGAAGTTGTCGGTCAGCGTCTTGAAGGATACCTCCTCGGGGCCGTAGTAAGTGTAGATGGAGCCGGTGCCGCCCACGGCGGAGATGCCGCCCTCCTTGGGCTTCTTGTGGATGATGCCCACCAGCGAGTCCACGATGAGGTTGTAGCGGAGCTCACCTGCGCTCCCATCCGACAAAATGCCACAGACTGCCACAGGCTACCCACAGAACCTAGCACCTAGCGACTCATCGCAGCGCAGACCGAGATCTGCAAACGGGAACAGCCGGCCTTCCACGATGCGCGGGCAGAAGCGCTGGTCCACGAGCTGGCCACCGGCCTCCTTGCCGCCCTCGAGGTACTTTCCGACGCCCTTGGAGGTCCACTCGCCGGACTTGTCCGAGCGGCCGCTCACGCAGAACTCGATGAACTCGGCGACGGTGTGGGTCTCCTCGTGGTTGTCGTTCGCCTCCATCAGCTTCAGGACCTCGCCATCCTCGCAGGACCTCTCACCGTACTCCTTGCAGTAGTTGCCCTCGGCCAGCTTGATGATCCAGATGCCCTCGCCGGAGGAGCCGCGGTTCTGCTTGATCACACGCGGCTGGAAGGCCATGGTCTTCTTGAAGCCCGCGGCCTTAGACCGACGCGACATCGTGGGAACATGACGACTCATATTGACCAAACACAAGCTTGGGCCACCACGAAGTCGTCAGGACTGTAGTAAGCCAAGGTGTCCTCGAGCCCGATGTTCAGAGTCGCCACCTCCGACGCAGAAGCAGAGAAGCCGTTGACTGGCCCTTTTCCGGGCTTTGGCCAGCCTTGCACAAAGCGTCCTTGGCGCCCATCTTCTCCATCACATCCGGAGAGGGCCAGACCTGCTGCCGGATAGACAAGCATGTTCACGGGCCTTGCGAAAGAAACACTGAGTTCCGCTGATATAGTCACTTACACGCCACCTGGATGCCGGCTTTACGCATCTCACGCATCCCGTCGTCGAACTTCTGCTGATCTCCACCGTCTGCCTTTATCTGGCCTGCGGCGAAGCGACAGGACTGACACTGTCGAACTCCGGACGGCATGCCCAGGATTGCAAAGGTTCGTCTGAGGCCTGGATTGCAGCGGACGATGATGAAGTTGAAGCTCTTGCACAACTCGAAGAATGCAGTGTGCTCTTCATGCGTGTAGTGAATCCTTGCAGACACAGCCCCATGAAGCACGGACTGCTGAGGCGAGGTCTTCAGATGTCTTCAGGACACTTCACTTCCGCCCAGTCTCAACTGGCAGCTCATGCCAGAAGTGATCATGCCGTTGGCGAAAGGAATGGAGTCATAGCGATGGCCTGCAAAGAGCGGTTGAGAGCATACCAAGGCAAGAGATTCTTCGGAGCTGATGAAGCATGTGCAGACTGGCTATGTAGGCATGCTGGAGCTGGTGTGCGCTGAGGAATCGGCCGTTGTTGCTCTTGTCAGATCCTGCCGGAAGCACTCTGCCGGTCTCGAACACAGATGCATGGCAAACGGGAGCTTCCTCACTACAGATTAAGAGCCATTATCGGAGACCTCCGGTTCCGTAACCAACATAATGCGCGAGCATTTGCAAAACAGCATGCTGCTCGCATGCGTCAAACCACGCAAGAGAGTTTCCCAACCACAGCCTCCATAAGGCTGCGATCGGACGAAAATCTGAGCCAGGGCACCCTGTTCAGCAAGAGCGTGCAGTGCCCATCGTAGAGAACATCCATCGCCAGCCTTGAACTTGGGCTCTGCAGGCTGCTCCAGCAGACCCTTGTAGTCCTTGACTTCACAGCACACACACCCCAAGGCTCGTTGAGGCTTCCAAACCCCCCCTTGTGCCCCAGAGCTCGTTTGCGCCTTTCCCACCACGCTGATCTTGGAGCAATCGACCGGCCCAGGGCAGGCAGCTGCAGCAGGAGACCCGGCTCGCACGAAAAGAAACGCAACACAAAGCGCAAGCGATCCCTTTGCACAGAAATGGCCTGCCGCAGGACCTGCAGAAAGTGTTGTTCAGTCTCAAAAGGCGTGTCTGTTCGGCACTCCGAGTTCTCAAAACTGGCTGTCACGGACCCCTTCCCCGCCTTTGCCCACCGCCTCTTTGACCTTCGCGAGCTGGTCTGCTGGGAGCTCCTGTGCGTGCTTTGGTCAGCGAAATTCGCGCCGAAAGAATGCCAAGCCTTCAGAGCCGCAGCGATCTCGTCGGCCGACTTCCCCTCGATGGCATTCTTCACTTCGCTGGAAGCAGCACCCCTTGGCTCACAGTGGTCAGCGTGAAAGAATCAGACCGAGATGATTTTTCGGCTACACGGAGAAAGGGAGACAGCAACAGTCAAACTACATCCGTTCACACAGCAGAACTTCCGCACCCAATGGCAGCCGAAGGCACCCCATGACGAAATGTCACGGAAAAGTTGACGAAAGATTTGCTGCCAAAGCGAATATTCGAGGCTGAAAACGGCAAGCCGATGCAAAAGATGGGCGTGGTTCGATGCAGCAGATCTCTCTATCAAATGCAAGAGAAGCTTGTCTTTTCCTTCCGGGAAACACACGCTCCCAAGAGGCAAGGCGCGTTCTACTGCCACTAGGCTCTCATCCAGCAGGGAGCTCGACGTTCAGGTGCCTTCCGCAACGGATCGACGGAGTAGCCGAGCTCTTCGAAGTCCGAGGAAAACAATCGGCGCATGTTCTGCACTGCATCCTGCACGGCCCCGGATGCATCTGCAAGAGCCCTTTGCAGCGCACAAAGAAATATTTACAACACCTTCAATCATCAAGATAAGAACTAAAAACCAGAAGACGGAAGCCGCTTGCTCCTTCGTCCAGAGCGTCTCCCACGGAGGCGAGGGAACCGGTAGGTACCTTGCACGCTGCTGCAGTCAAAGGTGATACTCTCTCCATCATATCTAGGCTAGATGGCGTGATCTCTTCGTGCCCACGTTACGGTCGCAACCCAGTCGGAATAATCTCTGGGATGGCCGGCAAGCGCTCGCAGAAGCGAAACCAACGGCAGAGCACTGCATGCAGATGGATTAGGTCCATGTGAAGCACTTCCAGGCGCAGAACGCACATCCTCACAGGCATCGGCATGAACCCAGTGAGAGCTTCCGAAAGGAAATATGTTACCAAGCATACGCCAAGCCCGTTCTTATGCCTCGCCTTAATCGCATTACCTCGCGAGCGGCGGCAGACCAGCGGATGTCTCGCAGGATGTCGTGAAATGACAGTGTGTGATAGAGGTCCTGCTTCGTGAAGACAGGCGGCAAGGACCGGTTCAAGGTGCGGTGCTCCGCCAACTTCCTGACAAACTCCGGAAGATCCTTCCACCCTGTAAGTGGCTCCTTGCTCGGATTCGCCAGCCATTTGTGCCGAAAGTAAGAATGGACACGTCGGTACGGACTGCGGACCAACATGACCGGTAAGCGTCCTGAACCCGCAGCACAGCAAGGCATGCACCATCCCGGTGGCAACAACAGTTTGGATGCCGTCTTCTGTGGCCTCGTCTCAAAGAAGAAGCGCTTCACCAATGCCCGTCGTGCCGAAGGCCGCAGCCTGGCTGTCCTCACTGCAACATTCTGAAAGATTCTCGTGACATTCCTCCGGAATGATCTGCTTGCATGCTAGACACAACGACGCCCCAAGCCCGTCCGGCCCAAAGATCCAGGAAAGGAACTTCCGGGAGACGGCCAGCTCGTTGTCCTTGAAGGCGCCGAAAAGCCGGCGCGAGAACTCCGCGGGCCGAGAGGAAGAGTCCAGGGCATGGAGCCAGGCGCCGACTGAGCTGCTACCGGCTTTCAACATCAGGGCTACGGCAATGGGGACCCGAAGCGGACAGAGGAAGAGCTGAGACGAGTTGGCACCTCAGTCGTCTCAAATCGACTCTCGCTGTCACCGTCGACATGTCGAATGCTTCGACATACAACAGAGGCTCGATCGCTTCGCTGCACAGTGCGATGCCACCACAATCAAGGGGGCGCTGGAGCCACTGCCAACTTCGAAGAAAGCGCCATCAGGAGGATACACCTGACAGTACCCACTCCCAACAGAATACTCATCGCACCAGTGATCGCCACAAATACGAAAAGGCGGAGAGTTGCCGGTGTCCTTGCATGTATCTTGGAAGTCGAAGCGATTTTGGCAAGGTCGGGGCACACCTGCCCTTGCCATCGAAAGTTGCCAATCATCGCTGCCAAGCGTGTCTGCCAGCTTTGCTGGAGGCCATGGCTCGGCTTGGTTCATGCTGCCTGCATGCTTTGAATGATCGGGCCACTCGAACCACCTTTGCTCCCTCTGTTCGAGTGCTGCGATGAAAGGACTTTGGAAGGGGTTTAAACAAGGGAAACCTCAACTCCAAAGCTTGGCAATACTCCCTCATCCCCATCTCGCAACAAGATGCTCACATCGTGTGCGAAACTAAAAAGCTACCCAGTGCACTACAGGATGTATTGAGCAAGCAAAGCAGGCAAGCTGGCAAGTTTGAAATGGTATCAAATCTTCCCACCCCTCCCTTCAGGCGTTCGTCCGACGCACCACGCACTTGCGTGGCACAGGGCGACGAGGCAGCGGCGAATCTGAAGTTCGGTTGTTGACTGATTTACGCAAGCAACGTCGAGCAAAAGCAAGCGAAGATGAGGATCTCGTGAAGGAAGCATCACACCCACCTAAACCCTGCCGTGCCAGCACCCATTGAATGCTACTGACAATCTCAAATCTCAAAGATTTAAACTCCAGAAGCCCAAATCCAAAAATGATGTTGATTCCTAGCCCCTGCCACGGCAACCGGAAAATCACCAAACCTGCGCTTCGTAACGTTCACTCTCCCAGGTCTTCTATCTCGGTCCCGTTTTCCTTGTCCGAATCAAAGAGCCCAGGGCCGTCGTGACGTCCAGCTGGGTGCTTGCACGGCATGTCCAGAAAGTTCTCAAGCAATACGTTCCGACCGACTCCAATGCAAAAGTACGCCTATGCAAGCATAGGATCTGTTCGATTTGTCTACCTGCTATTGAGGTTAGGCCATGCCTGCCAATGAAAGCCCGCTTCCAAAAGGGTGGCAAAGCCAAAAAGCCCGCCAAGCTTAAAATCCCAACCTCAAGCTTTTCCGTGGAGGGTCAATGCTGTGGAGCCACCAAGCCCAAGGCTTGCCACCCACCCGGAGGGCTTTCCTCCGAGCCAGGCAGGCAAAAGCAGGGAAACATCGACGTCGCATATGACACAAAGTCGCTGAAAAACTGCCTCGTCGACGATCTGTGTTGAAAACGTCGAAACGGCAGAGAAGCTCTTCGGGGTTAAATTTCTCAACGAAATCGCTAAACTAAACAACGGCCTCTTCGACAATCTGTGTTGAAAAACTCCAAACGCCAAATAAGCTCTTCGGGGTTAATTGCGCGACAAAATCGCGAAAAAACGGCGTCGTCGACGATCTGGCTTAAGTTTCGCAACAAAATCGCTAGAAACTGCCTCTTCGACGATCTGGATTAAATTTCGCGACAAAATCGCAAAAAAACTGTCTCTTCGACGATCTGTGTTGAAGACATCGAAAGGGCAAGGAAGCTCTTCGGGGTAGAATTTCGCGACAAAATCGCTACAAAAATGCAACTCGAAGATTTAGCTGAAATGTCGCGACAAAAACGCCAAAAAAACTGCCTCTTCGACGATCTGTGTTGAAAACGTCGAAACGGCAAAGAAGCTCGGAGTTAAAATTTACGTGTTTGAAGCTTCAGTCGCCGTCAGAAGCACATTGCACCACACGGATCTTCCTTTTTGTCTTGAGCCAAATCGACCCGTTGTGCATTTCAAGCTGCACACTACACATTCGCAAGGAACAATTCGTCCCCTTCAAGACGTGTTGAATACGAGCCTCTCCCTCTCTCTGGGGAGGGTGTTCCAGGTCTCCACTCTGTAGTAGCTACGAGGCTAGTTTCGAGACATAGGGTAGAATTCGCTACTTCGAGGGCCTGTCGATTTTGAGGGCTAGAGGCCGTAGGGCTCGCAATCTTAGGGGCTCTAAAGTGCTTGCAAAACGGGCGCGCGCTGCATCGGAAGGAGTTTGAGGGCGCGCGGAGGGCTCGCGAGCTGCTAGAGAGCGCGCTTGGGGAGCGACGCGCGCTTACGCGCGCTTGTTCGGCGCGGAGGGCGCGGGAGCAGCTCGTAGGTCGCTCGCAAGCTGCTGGGCTGCAACTCCACAGCCGAGCGGCCCGGAGGTTTTATTTTTTATATAAAAACCTAAATGCCTCTATCCCGGGATCCCTGGCATCGAGGCATTTAGTTTTTTATATAAATAAATCTTCCGGGCCGCTCGCCTGTTCGGCGGCGCGCCGTCGCGCTCCGGAGCTGGGGAGCGACGCGCGCTTACGCGCGCTTGTTCGGCGCGGAGGGCGTGGGAGCAGCGCGTTGCTCGTAGGCGGCCGGCGAGTGCTCGTGAGTTGCAAGCAAGCAGCTCCTAAGTTGCTCGTAGGCGGTTGCCGAGTGCTCGTAAGTTGCCAGCAGGCAGCTCGTGAGTTGCGAGCAAGCAGCTCGTGAGCTGCGAGCAAGTAGCTCGTGAGTTGCGAGCAAGCAGCTCCTAAGTTGCCAGCAAGCAGCTCGTGAGTTGCGAGCAAGTAGCTCGCAAGCTGCTGGTTTGCGGTTCGAAAGTCGCTTGTGCGCGGCTGGCGAGTGCTCGTAAGTTGCCAGCAAGTAGCTCGTGAGCTGCCGGCGAGCACTCGTCGGCTGCTGGCAAGTGGCGCGCCCTTAAAGTTCCTCTAAAGCCCGTTTTGCAAAGACTTTAGAGCCCCTAAGATCGTCAGAGCTGCGGGCCGTAGGCCCGTGAATCGACAGTGCTCCAAAGTACCGAATTCTGACCTATGTCTTGAACTGAGGCCTCTAGCTATCACAGAGTGGAGAGCTGGAACACCCTCCCCAGAGAGAGCGACCTTTTATTTAGATAAAAAGCTAAATGCCTCGATCCCCGCGACCTGCCAGGGATTGAGGCATTTAGTTTTTAGTTTATTTTATAAAAAAAAACCCCGGGCTCGGCCGGAGGTTCAAACTTGGCCTCGATCCCCACGACCTGCCAGGGATTGAGGCATTTAGTTTTTAGTTTTTTTATAAAAAAAAATCCTCCGGGCCCGGCCCCGTGCTGGTTAGCTCGGCAGCGGGAAGCCCGCTTCTCTCAGCGCCTGCCGGTGCTGCTCCGTCGCCCGAGCATAGGCTTGCGGAACGTAAGCAGCGAGAGCCCACATGCTGCCCTCGTGCGGCTCGACCATGTGATAGCGGCGAGCATCAAAGCTCACTGGCTTATCGTGCATGTCCAGCCACCGCCCCCGCAGCTCTTGCTCCCCCTTCTTGCCGGCCAGCAGTGCGGTAGAATCCCCTTCGTCGTCTTCGATCCACACCCGTCCTCCTGTGTAGTCTCCCAGAGCAAGCGCATGATTCAAGTGCCCGGCCATGTTCTGAATGTCACGGTGCAAGCCCATGCGTGGATTGAAGAGCACGGCGATGGAGGTCCAGGTGCCGTTCGGAAAGCGGCTCTTGAGAAAGCAATTCACGGCGGCGCAGGCCTCCCGCAGGCCCGTGGCATTGGAGACCCCGACCACCCCGCCGTGCCCGAAAAGCCCCAGCGTGGCATATCGCTCGTAGGCCCCCGGCCCCACCGCCCGAGTGCGGCCCCGGTGCTTCCAGTCCGCCGACCACAGATCCAGCAGCCGCACGAGATTGGCTTCGGTCGGCTCCTCCGTGGCGTGCCGGCACGCCAAATCCATTTTTTACATTGACAGCATTTGTCACTCCAAACACGCATGGCCCTAAAACACCATGCCGCACCCCAATTTTTCGGGATTTTGAAGCCGCCCGGGGAGGGTGCGTCCCGACGGCCCCGGGCAGCCGGCCGTTTTGCGAGCCGACCACGCACCGGCGAGAGCCCGATTTCGGTCTGTCCCCCGCCTAGCGTTTGAGCACGTTTTCGGCCGGATCGGGCCTTTCCTGTCGAATCGGTGCCGGCCAGCCTCGGAACGTGCTCGGGGAGGGTTTAGGATGGGTCGAACACAGCCACACGGAATCGCCGAGCATCACAAAACCGCCGCGCCTATGTTTCACACACCCTGCCGGGCCCGCCGGCCAAAAGCGACACAGCCAGCCTCGGGAAGGCCCGCGCATGGCCCAAAAGGCTTTGCCGGGCCGTTTCACACCAAACTGTGGCGAGAGCACGATTTCGGTGGGTACGTCCCCTAGGTTTGGCTCAAGTTTTCGTGGCTGGGTGCGCTCAGTGTCGATTCGCGGCGAGCCTGTGGCCGCCGTCGACCTGATCCGTGGGGGTTTAGGATGCTCACAGATGCTCGCTCGCCTTTGCTCACTGATGCCTTTTTGTTTTTTGATTTGTAGTGGTATTCTAGCTAGGCTCGCCGACTTTTGCAGTAACATTTTCCTAGAGTACTTTCGCCGGGGTTGCTTTTGGTTTGGTTCAGGGCACCCGAACCCCTTCGGCCCCAGCAGTAGGTTTTGATCCCCGCGTCCCTGCGAGTGCTTTGCTGCCCTAACCCCGTAGGTCCCTTTCCCGTCTGCCCTGCGTTGAGCTTCGGCTGCCGCGCACGCTCCTCCAAGGTGGTTCGTCGCACAGCACAGCAGTAGAGCACAACAGTACAGCAAGACACAGCACGGCAGCACGGCGCAACGGCGCGGCACTGCAGCACACACAGCATCAATGTAGGGGACGGCCTGGGCTGCGGACGTCCACGCAGGGCCCTCGGGCTCTCGGCAGGCTGTCGGCAGCGGCGAGTGATCGGAGTGTGCACTTGCTGCGTTTGAGTTCCTCTTGCGGCAGCCACTTTGACTTCACGTTTCGCCTTAGCAAACTGTAGCACCGGGCGCGGGCCTTGTCGGCGCAGAGATCCAGAAGCTCGCTCTCGTAGTCGAGCAGTTCACTGCACCTTTCCGATGGAGTCATCCGCAGCTGCAGACGGTGCAGATATTTTGAACCTGGACTCGTTGCCCCCTGAGGTTCGCACGCCCATCGCGAACTATCTGAAAAACTTGGAGACAACTCTCGTCAGCTGGGGCAAGGAGGAAGGTCCGACTGACGTGGCCAAATGGAAGGAGTCGGGGCGCTTGTTCGTGGAACACATGGGCCGCACAGTGCAGTATATCAGTGTCGACAAAATTACCGAGCACGTCAAGCGTCGTTTGGAGATTCAGCTCACGGAGACTCAGCTGGCTCGCGCGGCGGTCAAGCTCAGTGAGATTTGCCGACATGCAACCTCGGACTCGGCTAGTTCCTAGAGGAACTTCTGGAGTGGTGCCGGATCGTGCCAAAACAGAGAGCTGCGGTCAGTCTTTGCGTCTGGGTTTGTTTAGTCAGTTTAGTCTTCCGGGTTTCCCTTTCCCTCACCCTTTGGGTTCCCTTAGGCTGCCTCTCACTACCCTGCTTTGCTGCGTTTTATGTGCCTTAACCGTCGCCTCCTGCCCGCTCAGGCTTGACCTCGCTGGGCGGCGGGGGTAGTTGCGGGCGGTCGGGCGGGTAGGTGGGCTTGCGTCGGGACCTCAGCTTGCTTGGGTTGCTTCGGTGTTCGGGTTTCCCCTTCCCCAACCCTTTTGGTTACCCTAGGCCGCCTCTCACTGCCCTGTCCCGTTGCCCTGTCCCCGTAGGCTGCCCCTTGCCCGCGCCTTTTCCGCCCAGGTCTGGACCTTCTCCGCCGGCGTGGTGCTCCCAGGGGTTCTTCGGGGGTTGTTCGGATGTTGTGCGGGCTTGGGTTTCCTGTCGTGCGAGTGCAAGTGCACAGGAGGGCCCTGCGCTGCTGGCCCTGCAGCCCGCCTCGTCCCGGAAACCCCGGGCCCCTCGTCGCCGCTCTCAGGTGTCAACGGCCATCGGCTGCGGCGGCCTCTTCATCTCTCGCCTGGACCCTGGACGTTTGCATCTGAAGCCGCGGCTGAGTGTGAGGGGTTTTGGTTGCCTGGAGGGTAGGTGCACCTCTTTACAAGCAGTTGCCGAAGCCTTTGCTGATTCGAGCCCTTTGGTGTCCGTAGTGCTGCGGTCATGCCATCTGACGTGCAGACGGTCCTCCTCCTCGTGTGGGGCTTCTACTGGCCGCACCATCGGCATTTTGTGGAGGATATGGAGCCGCTGCTGAGTACTGGCTGGCATGGCTATCAGCTTTACGAGCAGTGGGCTGACGTCATTTACCGACTCGTGATGCTGAACTTCTTGGAGGCCGATGTCTTGATGCGTGCCCGCATCCAGCTGCAAAGGGCCGGGAGGTTGTACGCGAGCAGATACGCGGTGCGGCTTCGCGATCAATGCAGGATCGCCGCTCAAGTATTGGACCGCGACCCGGACGACCGCCTCGAGGGGTTCCAATGGTTGTGCGAAGGGAGCAACCCTCGCCTGAACGAGAGCTTCTTGCATGCCAGTCGGGTTTCCGCAGCAGCCAGTTTTGTCATCGAGCGCGGCGCTTCTGGGAGGCTGCAGGCTGGAGAGGATGCTCTGTACGATCGGGTCATGCAGGAGACTGAGCGGCTCCGAACCGACGACGACATGGACCCTTTTGATGATATCAATTTCCGCTTTTAAGCCCTGCCTACAGAACAGCAGGCCCTTGGGTGCAAAAAAAGTCCATGCTGGATCCCTGCCCGTAGAGCTCGTGCAAAATAATTTGCAATCCTCGCTCCTTCCTCGCTCTTCCCAGGTATTCGATGAGGGCGGCGACGTCGGTCCGAAGCCTGGTGCTCTGTGTCCGTTGCCTCTTTGAAGCCGGCTGGTTGGCATGTTTTCGATGTTCGCAGCTTGTTGCTTTCTTCAAGCGAGTGCCCCGGAGCGGGCGTTGACCCTGAGGGCGAGGCGGGCCGGTTTTATTTATATAAAAAAATAAATGCCCCTATCCCGGAACGTCCCGACATAGAGGCATTTACTTATTTATATAAATAAATCCCATCCGTCCCGGTCAGGCGGCATGGACGCGGTGATGAAGGCCCGAGAGTGGGCCGTGGAGTTGCTGCTGAGCCCAGTGCACGCGCCCTCGCAGAAGTTGGGTGGCCATGTCTTCGGCGGGGCCCCCGAGGACGCGGTCCGCAAGATGAGGATGCTGCTGGACCCGGCGGCGAATCCCCACTCCGATGCCGAGAAGGCCCTGGCAGAGCTCGACAAGCTCGACCTGCCCGACTCCTTCGAGGGCATCGGCCTTGTGCCCATCACGGCTTTGGAGACGAAGATGCGGCTGGCTTGCCGCACCATGGCGGCTCAGGAGGCCCTGAGAACTCTGACAGAGGACGAGCGGCTCGAGAAGCCGGCCAAGAAGGGCAGGTCGCGCGATTTCCAGCAGCCGTCCGAGCCGCCGCGCGCGGTAAGCGATGCGCTCGCGCGGGCCCAGGCTGCTGTGATCGAGGTGGTCATGGACGCACGGCATGGGACGGCGCAGAAAGCGGGCTGCCATGTCTTTTCGTTTGAGCCGACCATCCAGGCTTGCTACGCTCGGATGATGCATATTCTGGAGTCCAGCAGCTGCCCAGGGACGGCAGAAGCGATGCTGGAACTGCTGCTCCTGGAACCCCTGCTCCACAACGTGGACCTTGCAGCCGCCCGCGACAAGCCAAGGACCGATGGAGAAGCAACCGCGAGCCAGTTTGTCATCATATCGGCAATGAAGGTCGCAACGCACCCGAAGCCCGCCACTCAGCCGATGGAGAAACCCCGCGCCGCGAAACCCGAACAGTCTGCGGAGGAGAAGGGTGCCTTGGAGTTGTGCGACACCGAGCCCGAGCTGCACACCGAGCCCGAGCTGCCCCGCGAGCCCGAGCTGCACACCGAGCCCGAGCTGCCCACCGAGCCCGAGCTGCCCACCGAGCCCGAGCTGCACACCGAGGTCGAGGACCTCGCCGAGCCCGAGCTGCACCCCGAGCCCGAGCTGCACATCGAGCCCGAGGAACCCAAGGAGCTCATCGAGCCTTCTGAAGCCAAGCTGCCCACTCCAGCCGAGCTTGGCCATTACACGCAGTGGGAGGAGCTGTTTGACGACCCCCCTCCGGATGGCATCTTGGACGATGCCCGCCTCGTTTGGGAGCGGATCGATGTCTTCACGGTCGGCATCGCTCTTCAGTTGGACGCCGTGAGGAGGTGCCCCGACTCCAGTCTCTTCGACGTGCTGGTGAGCCTCTCGAAGCGTGCAGTGAACGTCGGGAAGGACGGGGTTGGATGGATTCCCGTCTTCTTGCGCCCAGGCCGCTGTGCACCTGGCCTTCGGGGGCGGCTGTTCTCAGGCATTGGTCGGGTGCCCGCCAAAAAAAAAGCTGCGAAGCGCAGCCGCAAAGGTGAGGATGATGAGCAGGAGGAAGCGGAAGATCCGCGGCAGCAGTTCTTGCAGAAGCTGCCGGTGGAGCTCCGCGAAGAGGTCAAGCTGGGGGTCCCTGACGCTCTGGTAGGACGCTCGGTGTTCGCGTTCAGCAGACTCGTTCGATACATCGCCCGACACCGCATCGGGTCCGTGGAGCTAGACATCAAGAACAGCTTCTTCCAGCTTTTGAATCGGAAACAACCCCTTCCGGGCCTCCTGGCGGATTATCTCGAGTTCCGGGAGGAGAGGCTCGAAACGATCAGCCGCGTGCTCCTCCACAAGCTGCCCGCGGCCGACCGGCGCCAGATGGCGAAGAAACTCATGATTGCTCTAGGATTCGGAGGAGGGGTGGCGAACTGGATGAACATGGTGTTGCAGGATGTGCCCCTGGCTTCGGACGAGGGGGAGCGCGGCGAGGCGGCCGCCTGGTTGTAATGAACTATCTTTGGACTTGGTGTTTTCGTGAGGGCGGGTGTTTTGAACCTGGCCCGTACTGAACGACCCAAGTTTGGCGAGAAACACTTGTGTTGCAGAAGCCGTTTGAGCCGTCGTTTCACGAGCAAGTCCTTGAGCAGTTTCATTTTTTAGTTGTTGAGCCGGAATCAGGTTTGAGCCGTAATTAAGGTTTAGGGAAGTTTAGGGCTTGTGTTTTGGAACATTAGGGTTAAGGGTTGTTTTTTTGCACCGCGGTTTAGCGCAGCAGGTTTGAGCCGTACTAGGGTTTAGGGTTGTGTAGGGTTTGTAGGGAAAGGGAGGGTTTAAGGTAGCAGGGCAAAGCCTAAGAAAAATCCAACTCGACAGCTTCAGAGAAGACTGCATGGGCGAGAAGCGAACGGCTGACGCAACACGCGACAATCAAAATCTTTTCTTCGCTCCGAACTCCAGGCATCATTGTCATGAGCTTTGATTGCCAATCCTTGCTCACTGCTCTTCGTAAATCGCAGTCTCCTCGTCGAAGCCGTTCTCAAGTGCCTTTTTCTTTGTCTTGTAAGACTTGTCGTCTGGGGAAACAAAGATCTTGTAAGTGGTCCCATCTCGGCGTGTGAACACCTTGACCTGGCAAATAGCAACTAGCCAAGCCCCCACACACACACACGCACAATTATCATATGTTGACCCAGTATATGATGCCAAGCCCTGAATAAGTGCTTCCGATTCCGTGCCTTCCACACTGGCAGGGGCTCGTCTACCGTTGGGCTCTCTTCCTCCAGCTCCTCCTGCTGCTTGTCCTCGGCAACACCTTTTGGGTCTGACAGCGGCTCCACTGACGGTTTCTCCTTCGGCTTTTGCATGGCTGGCTTCTTGTGGACTTTACTTGCACTCTTCTTCTTCACTGCAGCCTTCTTGGCGGCACCCTTCTTCACGATCACGGCTGGATTACTTGAAGCAGAAGTGGAAGCAGCAGGCTTTTTCTTCAAGCCTTCGTCTTGGTCCTCTGGTTCAGATGCAAACAGCATACTGGACGGTCTTCCGAGCGATGGGGCTTTCTGCCGCTCCTGCAAACAAAAGGGGCATGACGCCTCAAAGCCGATCCGAAGCCCCAAAAGTTAAGACCAATGGAGACTGCATCACATGCACAGTCCTTCTCCGTGCTTGCTGGAGACGGTGTGTCCTGAATGCGCACAGTGCCAGCGAACCCTTTAAACCCTAAACCCGACATTGCATAAGTTAGAGTCCGGTGGCCTCGATCTGCAAGTGGGGAGCTCGCCGAAGTGCACCTGGATTCAGGGCGGAGGCGAAACTAAAACCTTAAAGGCCCCTTTAAGAGAGGGTCTTCGCCTCAAGAGCGCGCTAGAACCCTGAAACCTAAGCCCCTAAAATCTTTGATTTGAAGCCCTCCTATCCTCTAAACCCTCACCGCGAAACCTCTAAATGCCTCAAACCCCTAAACCCTACAGCCGTAAAACCTAAAATCCCCAAACCCGTAAACCCCCTAAAGCCCTAAAACCCCAAAACCCTTCAGACCTTAAACCCTAAAAATGCTAAAGCCTTAAACCGCACAACCCCTAAACCCCGGGAGCCTTAACACCATAAGCACCTAAAGCTCTACCGTAAGCCCTAAAACCCCAAACCCATAAAACCCGAAAACCCTAGAGCCCTAAACCCCAAAACCCTAAACCCCTCGCGCGGCCGCAGGCCTGGATGCATCGCCTGCGGCTCCTTCTCGGGAGTGCCTGGTTGGACGATTAAGGGTTTTGGGGACGTAGGGTTTTAGGGACTCTGGGCTTTGAAGAATTTTAAGGATTTTCGGGTTTCAATTTTTTCGGGGTTTCGGGCTTTAGGCTTCAGGGTGAAGGTGCAAGGGTTTTAGGATTTAAGGTTTTGGGTCGTTTCAAGGTTCGGCTACGAAGGTGTCGAATTTGGTGCCGAGTGGGCCTTCAGCTAGCTGCCGGCTCATCTCCGTGTCCGTCACCTCATTGTCGGGTCCTGGCAGAGAGGGCAGTGGCTTTAGGTTCCAATTGGTGCTGGCCAGACCTTCACTGCGTGCGGTCGCGAGCTGCTTCTTCTTGATGTTCTCATCGCGGGGTCCTGGCAGAAAGGCCAGTGATTGATTATGCTAAGTTCCACTTGGTGCTGGCCAAACCTTCACGGGGCATGATCTCGAGCTGCTTCTTCTTGATCTTCTCATCGTTGGGTCCTGGCAGAAAGGCCAGTGGCTTGATTGTACTAAGTTACTAAGTTCCACTTGGTGCTGGTCAGACCTTCACGGGGCATGATCGCGAGCTGATTCTTCTTGATTTTCTCGTCGTCCGGTCCTGGCAGAAAGGCCAGTGGCTTGATTGTGCAAAGTTCCATCTGGTGCTGGTCAGACCTTCAGGGGGCATGATCGCGAGCTGATTCTTCTTGATCTTCTCATCGTTGGGTCCTGGCAGTAGAGGCTAGCGGCGAGATTCCTGCGGCATCAATGTAATTCTCAGGCCTTTGAAACTGCTCGGAATGAAGGCGACGGGTTCGTCGGCGACGGGCGAACTGCCTGGTGTGAACACAATACATCGAGTAGCAAGGTCTGAAGTTTAGGATATAATTAAAAATAGGTCTTATAGATTAATTCAATAAGTGCAATGCACAATGACGTGTGTCCGTGCCCAAGCCTTGTGAGCTTTGCACACGAAAGGCTGTGTTGATAGCCACAGTGCCTGCTGAGCTCCCCGTTGGCATATCAAAGTTCGCCATCATGGTAAACTGAAACCCGGCAGCTGGCTGCGAAGGTGCTGTCGGGCGCAAAACACCTCCCTGCCCCACGCTGGAGCTTGGAGAGGTCGCCTTTGGCGGTGGAGTCCTCCACCTAGCATCTACGCCATAATTCGCAAACATCTGGTCTTCCAGCTGCTGGTTCATAAGCCTCCGCACATCATCCCTTTGATCCCCCATCGTGCTCACACGATACAATTCTCTACATTCGTGATCCAAAAAAGTCTGCCTGGAAATAGAAATGATGGGAGGTGCTCATGCTCCAAGAGTTGCTGTTTCGTCAACAATCAGCACAAGGCGACAGGTTATCATGCCCAATGCCAAACACACATATTTTCGACCTATCTTCGGAAGATTGGCGCGAGTGCTCGAGACAACAGCCTGACCAAGGACCCTTCCAATACATCTACCGGATAGTACCACCACCTTTATGATATCGTGGCATCAAACTAAATCTTACATGGATCCTCTGAGAAACCTTGGTCAGAGAATAGAATCAAAAGGTCTCCAGACATGATCTGGATGGGATGTCACAGAGCCACAGGTTTGCCTGGCTCCAGCTTCAATGCTCCGGTCAGTGCAACGTAAGGTTTTTGGATCTTGCTGACTCCATGGATCCGCTCGAACCTCCAACGAAAGATGGGGCAAATCGCATCGGATTCCTCCACCTGCTTGATCATGTTGTGGAAGAAAGACTTGCACGTCATCTTCTGCTCTAAGTTCGGGAGCACTCGAAACTTGTGGGGCTCGGAGATTTCGATATTGAAGGCATCTGAAGGACCGGAGCTTCCCGAAGCGGCGGATCGCGTGCACTTGGAGTACGACAACTCATACTTGCTGATCTTCTTAGATCGTTCAAGCAGGGTGAGATACCTGTAAAGTGTCATGACTTCGCAAACATTGGCGCCACTCTGGGGGGAGATGCTTGCCATCTCTGCCTGCACCAGGGTTTTGTCTCCATTGGCCCATTTCACATCCACTCCGTCGCACTGCTCCGTGCATGGCACAAACCTCTGGCAAGAATAGAACACGAAAGAAAAAGTGGCCACTTCTTGAACTCAGAATCTAGAAAATATTCAAATCTTTCTTTTGAGCTCAAAAAGCTTGCCGGTGCCAAAGCCACCCAGAATCGTGTGCTTGCCAAGCACGCGGGCCTTCTCACTCATGAGGTACAGCTTGTCCTTGCTCTTCAAGATCTCAACCCCGGTGACTTCGGAGTTCACGCGGTCCTTGATCTCGTCCTCGCCATTGAGGGCCTCAAAAGACTCATAGGCTTTGAGAGCTAGGTTCTCGCCGGCTGCGCTGGCTGCAGCACCGCCTGTGTCCTCAGTGTCGTTGGCCGTCGATGCTTGAGCTGGCTCTTGAGCAGCTGTTCGCTCCAAGCAAGGCTTCAGCAGATCTTTCACACCCTCAGCATGCTGCTTGGCCAGTCTTTCAAACTCGCCAGCATATGCCGTCTGAGACCATTTCTTCTTATGATCAGGATGGATGTCTATGATGGTGCCATCTCTAACCGTGACTTCCAGCCTCAAGGCATCAGGAGATTTCAGAATGGCGGATCCCGGGATTCGGTCCAACTCCTCTGGTCAAATATCATCAGATTGAACTTAAACTCTCTACGCAACACTGAACTGGAAATTAAAAACATGATCGAACTAGGTATCCTCTGCTGTAAGCCCTGTGTTGGTGTCTTTGAAAGCGAGGCCACCATAGACGATCTGTTTGTCAAGCCAACGGTCCATCACCTCTCTCAGGACACGTGTCTGTGCATAGGCGAAGTTGTTGTCCACATCAATCGTGTGCAAGCTCAAGTAGAAGAGCTTTTTCAAGTTGAAACCCTTGAGGCCATCCCCTGACAAGGCACCCTGCTGTCGCAGGTCCAAGACCTGAGCAGTGAAATCCTGAATCACGAACAACGGCCTGGAATTCAAGCCAAAGCTCAAAGCACACTGAATCAAACCGTTACACAGCTGCCCCCACTTCTTCGACGTACCCGGTGAGGTTGATCACCAAGACTGGGCCCGGTGGGCTCACGCCCCTGAGGGCTGCCTCAAGGAGTGCCTTTGCTCGCGCGATTCCTTTCTGTGCTGAGGTCTGTTCCGGAGATGGTTTCGGTTTCTCCGACAATCTCAAGTCCTGGCTGGTACTCGCGGACTCAGGCAGCAAGAGCTCGCTCTGCTTCGGGAGCACACTCGTCGGTGCTCCGGTTTCTACCTCAGCAGCTCCCACGGGTCGTCCATACATTGCGAGCTCTCCACTCATCCAAATGCAATCGTCCATGGAAGCACTGTTGCACACAACTCTCCCCATAGAGAAACGCCTCGCATTGGATTTCACCTCGCCCTTTTTCTCACGTGTGAAGCATTCAACGAATCTTGTCTCCACGTGTTGCTGCAAGGAAAACAAGGCTTCGAACACCCTTTTTTCTTCGTCCCACAACCCTCTGGGACTCGAGTCGCGGGGAAGGTCTGGCAGCAACAACAGGGTCGCATTTTGCTCGGCTGGGCCATCTGCATTGATGGCAGCGATCCCATTGCAAATGCTCTGGCAAACCTCCTTCTGCCTGCACTTTGGCACGTTCATGTCTGCGAACCCAAGGATGGAAATACTCTCTCGGGAGCATGCCAGCTCAGCTGCCTCAATTAGCGCAAGTCAATCTTCCTCAACAAGAGTTTAAGAACGCCAGCCGGCATGAAGCATGCCCAAACATGTTCGCTGGGACTCGCAGATCAGATCATTGTCTTTAGCAGTAGCAGGCATCATCCCACAACCAACTCAGATAAGATGCGATACTGCTCTTCATCTTGGACACTTCCGCTGTTGCAAGTTCCATCTTGGCCAGCTTCACGACTCGAAGGTATGCTTCCTGCTGTCGCACAAACCCAAAACCCTCGCTTGGAAAACAAGCCCCTGACAAGGCTCCATTTAATATTTTCAACCCAATGAAGCTCTCGCTTGGGTTGAAAAGACCTGGTTTGGGCCACCCAATAAAACCCAAAACTAACAACTGTGGTCCCATACCAAAACTCCCCATAGCCGTATCCATATGCTTGGGAGAATATAATGATTCTCTTCTACTTTACGCAGCGCAACGATAATCTTACTCGGCCAACACACAAGAAACGGCCGCAGTGCTACGACATTTGACAAAGGGATTGTCTCTGCGAGTTGCCAGTGGAGCCCGAAGCCTTAACTTAACAATGTGTGCATGGGTTGTTCCCAACACCGCTGACCCCTAAACACTGATTCTGATTGGAATATCTGACCCCGCCTGGTACCCGGAAGCTGCCTTGAGACCATCTGCAGCTTGGCTTTTCCTCTGCTCCACCTCGCGAGCATGCTGCAGCATCTTGACTTGGCGAGGAGCATCAGATGCAAGCTTCACGGTCTCCTGGTCTTTTTTCAAGCCGGAGCAGAAGAGCTTCCACTCAGCCTCCAACACTTGCTGCCTTTGGTCCTCCACATCTTTCATTGCGATGTTCTCCTTCTGCAGCAGTGTCTCTCGGGCCTTCTCTTGCACAGACTGCAGCATACTCAAGGCCACAGTCGATGGTCGAACATCCAGCAGCACCCTCCAATCCTCGTCGTGGCCGTTGATGAACGACTCTCTCCACGACACTGCCTCGCTGCCCACCTGTGCTTCGAGGAAGTGGAAGCACTGCTCGAACAACACGCAACAATTTCTGAGCTTGACGAGATCCTCAGAGGTCAGCCTGTACTTCTTCCTCTGGTTCACAGGGATGCCGGTGGTCGTCCGGTTGAACTGCTCCTCTGGTTGAATGGTTTAGGGTTTATACGAGGCTTTAGGGTTTTGGGGGTTTTGGTTATACGTTTCGGGTCGAGTCTCCTGCACTCGTTTGAAGAGAAGGACCTGGGCACTCGCCGTCATTGGCAAGCGCCAGTCCTTGGACTGATCCGGCAGGATGCAAAACAAGCTCGCTCAGAACCGCATGCAATGGTGTATCTTCTATCTTCGCCAAGTAACAACAGACACAAAGGCTCCTTGTCGAGGGGGCGCATGGTCAAGTCTGCTGTCTCTGAAGCCATAAGGTTCGCTGCACTCCCGAGAAAGGCGAAGTTGCACAGCGAGAAGCTTTCCCCGAAGCATCCATAAGAAAATGCCAGGTCATGTGTTGACTGAAGTACCACAGCCAATGCTTCATCGCACGTTCGCTCGAACCAATTCTGGACGCCCTGCTTCTTCCGATTGTCCAAAGTCACGCAGCCGCTGCCGCTTTCATCATGTGCCACGACGTCTGGGTGGGAGTTGTAAACCCTCAAAGCCACATCCAGCTTGACCTCCACTTTGAGACTTCGCAAAATGGAGTTCCACTGGAACGAAGAAACAGGAAGGACCTTTGAATCGATGTTTTGCTTCACAATGCGGCCAATCGTAGCCGTCAGGCTGTCATTGCTTTCCACAGATGACTTCGTGCATGTAGGAATGCTCAAGAATGATGCTATCAAACCTTGAACCTGATCATTGTCAAAGACATTCGGCTCAGATTCCCAAAGCGACAACAAGCCGATCCAGGCGGTGAAGGCTGCGAGCATCTTCTGTGACCCATCCCCATAAAGCAGTGTGCCCACAGCTCTGTTGCTGGAATCCACTGTAGCATCGGTGCTGCTCGGCATTCGCAGCACCATCTGCTCCCCCTGGCAACGACACAGAAAACCACTGATCAATTGGGTTTGGCTCGGGCTTTTGCTGGACTGGGACGAACAAGCGATTTTGAATACTTTGTCTGGTGTTCACAGATCCTAGCGAAAGCTTTTCTAGACTAGTAGTAGTAATAATAATTTGTATAATCGTAGGTCATCATTGTCAAGCACTTGACGGATTGGTTCACTGGGAGCCTGACGAGTGTTCTCTGGGCCAACGCGACAACGGAGGGAAATCTCACGCTGAGGACCTCGCTAAGGTGGTAGGGCTGGTCACCAACATGACAACGGAGGGTTTATTCACGCTGAGGACCTCGTTGAGGTGGTAGGGTTGAGCACCAACATGACAACGGAGGGTTTATTCACGCTGAGGACCTCGTTGAGGTGGTAGGGTTGAGCACCAACACGACAACGGAGGGTTTATTCACGCTGAGGACCTCGTTGAGGTGGTAGGGTTGAGCACCAACACGACAACGGAGGGTTAATTCACGCTGAGGACCTCGTTGAGGTGGTAGGGTTGAGCACCAACACGACAACGGAGGGTTTATTCACGCTGAGGACCTCGCTGAGGTGGTAGGGTTGCAAAAGTTGCGGGAGGGTTGCGGCTATGAGTGGCCACGGTCAATGCCAACAACCCTCAACCCTAGGACCTCAGTGAGGTGGTAGGGTTGAGAGTGGGTCCAGGTCACATGGCACCTTTTTCATTTATTGTGCTTTATGGTGGCTTGCCATGGGATGGCCCCCCGTAAACCCTCCTCAACCCTAGATCCTCAGTGAGGTCGTCGGGTTGAGCATGTTGGGACAGCCCCACACCCAAGCCGAGGGCATCTGACTCTACAACCCACCGCTTAGTCCCTTAATGTCCATGCCGCACCCCAATTATTTTGGATTTTGGTGCCCCGAAAAACTCACGTCCGCATCCCGGCCTCCTGTTCTTGCAAAACCCAACAAATGATCCCAACACCTCTCGGCAAGCATGCGGTTTTGTAGGGGAAAAACAAGGTTTCCGCAATTCTGCCAACAACATACTTGCAAGAATGCAACCGAGAAGGTGTCCTATTGCTGATCACAGGAGCATAACCGGGCATAAAAGATGATGAACTCATAACTTTCGTCATCTCAGGCCTCACGGAACCTTGTGAGGGCCATGCTCCTGCTGTACCCAACCACCTCTGACATGCTCACGGCGGGTCCTCGCCAGAAGCTTTCATCAGCCATGCACCAGGATAGGACGCAGGTGTTGAAGAAGTTCCCCGCAGTCGGGGGCCATTCCTGTCAAGACGGGCTAGACAGTATTGCTGGAACAAAGTGACTCCCAACCCCTGAGAACCCTTCCCCATTGGGAGTGTACGTGCGGGCCGTGGAAGGGCCACCAGGCACGGGGCACCGGAAATACCCCAGCCCAACCCTTAGAACCCAAACCCTGCCTACTAAGGAAACTCCACCATCAGTACGCCTGTCCCAAAACCTCAACCATCAACTACAGAAGCCCTGAACCCCAAAGCCTACCCCAAACCCCTAACTCCAAACCTAAACGTACCCTTCCTGTTTAGTTTGACCTCAAAGGCCCAAGTAGTCTGACGCACAGAGCCCCAAAGCAAAATGCAGACAAGTATCTGGAATCGTACAGAAGTGGGTCTTGAAGTCCTCAACACTATCCGTGTCCAACAAACCTGCCGCATGTGTCATTCGTGCACTCAAAGCCAAAAGGTGATCCGGGTCGGACCATGCTCTTTGAGCAATATCTTTGAGAGTCCCGCCCTCACACAAAGGCCAGGCAAATTGCCCGGGCTGGGGTCCGAAGCCCAAAGGTTCCGTCGGTTCACACGGAAGCTGCTTCTCAACATGATGGCGCAAACCATGTGTAGCATCGATCCATGCATCCAGCTTCAGCTGGAAATCATTCACATCCTTGATGTCACTAGCTGCTCGGGTTGTAGCCTCACCGGCGGCTACGGCCTGTGATCGTTGAGCCGAGGTTCGCTGCTTCTTTCTTGGAGGCATCTGCAAACTTGCGACAAGCACCACGGGGCGCTCGATGAAGAAATGCTCTGACTCGTAGAAGCATTACAAGCGCTACATGACATGAGCTCGAACAAGCAGTGAACCTAATTATCATTTGCAACTGCTCGGTGATTTTCAGGGCTCGCTCTCATCTGATGATGATTCAGATTCAGCAAGTCAGACTGGAGCCGCTCCCCGGGGCCCAGCTTTGAATTTGTCTCAGACAACTAGCAGCTATAGCAAAGTCCTTGGCTCAATGTTTCTGCGGCAGCCACACTGTCAGCGTGGACGCCAGCACACTGAAACAGACGGTGGCGGCAAACCTGCAGACAGCCAATCATGAACCAGCGGGGTTTCTAGGGGGGTCATGCCTTAGAGTCTATATTTGACACACCCACACACCACACACACACACACACCCACACGCGCGCACGCACCCGCACACGCACATGCACACGCGCACGCGCACGCACACGCACACGGCCCACCAACCGACCAAACAAAAACACACACTCTCTGTCTGTCTCTCTCTCTGACTCTCTCTACTCTCTCTCTCTCTCTCTCTCTCTCTCTCTCTCTCTCTCTCTCTCTCTCTCTCTCTCTCTCTCAGTCTCTCTCTCTCTCTCTCTCTCTCTCTCTCTCTCTCTCTCTCTCACACTCTCTCAGCAAACGCTTACCCGGCTTACCCCCAATCACTTTGGAGACTATCTCTTCCGCCAGCCATGAGCCCTGTGGCTGAGCAGCCCACGCATTGCCGGCAAGATCTGACTGTTTCCAGTCCGAAAGCTCGGTGAAGCTGTAGGTCTCCATCTCAGAAGGAGATATCCCCTGCAACGCCATTTTCTCCTTCCGCGACTCTCTCTCTTTTCCACACGACAGGGACGACTTAAGGTGTAGGGTTCAACGTTAAGGGCCCGTCCTGGCCAGACAAGACGGTCCATCGTCCTGTCACTATGTACTTGCCCTTTGGGAGAAGGCACGGCACCACCGTGGGATTGGCTCGACAAAAGATCTGGCGATTGAAAGCTTGATCCTTGGCTCAGATGATCTCAGATGCAACAAACGTGCTGGCCTCCACATGCTGACACAATAGAAACATGCAAGCATATGCAGCTGAAACTCCACTTGCACTAGCAACGTCTCTGCAAATGGGTCTCGACCCAGCTTCTCAAGCTTGAACACACCATAACACAAAACCATCATCTCCCTCTCGGTGACGGCCAAGCCTTTGTCGCGAAGCTTCAGCTCGGTGCGGACCATGTGGGCCTGCCCAAAACAAACTCTAAACCCTACCTAGGTAACCCACAATCTTTCGGGAACTGAGAGGGGCATCGCGAGAGGGGTGGCAACAGAGGGGGTGGGGGCTGGGGCCCTTCAACTTGGAGCGAAAACCCTACGCGCAAAGCATCCCCAAGCCCCAAAAACCACAACCTCACAAGAATGCACTCGCAGCCTTGGTTTCATCGTCGAAGGCTTTGTAGGTCTTCTTCCACTTCGCATCGCCTTTTGCCTGGGCCTGCCCTTTCGTGACTTCACAAGTCTTTGTGGAGGGTGGCTGCAGAAACTTATTCATACATCCAGACACGGCCGGGGAGCGAAGTCGGTCCATGACCCCCAATGGTCCATCCTGGCTCCTGTGCACAGCGACAAGCAACATCCAACGAACAAGGGCTGCATCGGACAACAGCGAACATCAAAGAAACTCGGGCCGTCCTCACTAAGTTCTCACGGATGTAAACTGCCCAAGTCCGCCTGCGGCTTTGGGGCAAGCCGTAGGACTGGGCATCCAACACCCAACTCCATCCAAGGAAACCTCGTTTTGCAAAAGCATCGGTTTGGATTTTGATGGGCACTTCATCCTTGAACTTCTTCCGTTGGTTTGACATCTCTGCCACATTCTCTGTGATGATCCACTGCAAGGTGCTCAGGTGGCGATCTACATACTTCAGAAGTGCACAAAATCCAGCTCCCGTGCTGGAGCTCTTGTCCGTAAATGACTTGGCCTCATTGTTCTGCAAGGAGAGGGACTTGCATGGGTATCCTGCGAGGATGCCATCCACCTTAGGCCGGGTCCACACAATCAGAGCAGCAGCTAAAAGGTGAGCCGGGCACCAGCAGATAAGCAGCCTAGTTGCGCTCTCCACGTCCGCAGATGCTTGGGTGATATAGTCGTAGGCACGACCACAGGCCAAATCCTTCATATCGGAGAAGATGTGCTTCACATGTGGAAACGAACGATGAAGCTGCTCAGCTTTCCATCGTGTCTGCTCGCACATCCACACCACCCGCAGCTGCAGGGGGCAGAGAGCGATTAACCGAAACCCTAAGGTAAATCCTAGACTCTATAACCCTCGACCCTTGAATTAAACCCGAATCCCTACAGCTAGACTGAGAGCATAATCCTAAAACCCAGACCACGATGAAGTAGACTCAACAACTCCAACCAGGCCTTGGCCGGGCTAGAACCTGGGGTTTCAGCAGCTTGCTCGATCATCGCCACAGCATTGTTAAGCGCATCAATGGCCGTTTCACCCACACCCCATCCGGAACACAAGGAGCCCACCTTGACCTCTTCACCGTTGCACGCTGCCTGGGTGAGGCTGTCTTTGATCATCTTGGCAAGCTCGCGGTTTCTGGCCAATTGATCCATTGCCCAAAAACCGACCTTGCCCGCTCTGAAAAACGGAATCTCGCAACTACTATGGTTAGGGTACTACACTACGCAGAATGCTACGGCGAGAGACGCCACCGGAGGCATCGGACCCAGGAGCTGCACTTTGACCATCCTCATCGTCTGTGGCTGGCAACACCGAAGGGGACTTAATGTCACCATCGGTATCCTCGCGGTCTGAACGAGCATGCAGCTGCATCCTGACCAGCATGCTCAAGATGCGGGGATTGGCTGGCACGAACAAAAATGCGGGGCAAGCCTTTCATCGTCACTGGCAGCAAGGATCTCGTCGTCCGCTTCGTCGTTGGTCCTGCAAAACATGTCTTTTTCCATCAAGGTTTGGAGAGGGGTCTGCATGGGCCGCAATCATAATCAATGGACAGAAGTTGATGGCAAGGTCTTTTCCACAGATTTGCAAGCAGGTGCAGCCAACACTTCACGAGGCTCAATTCCCAGCATTCTAAGTCTGGGCATCGAAATCCACTTCTGCATTATCGTGGTCCGACGCCTCATCGTCAGATCCACGTTCTGCGCTCGAACGCAAGTTGATCACACGGCTACGGGGAGGCTTTCGCCAAGGCATGCGAGAGCCCACTGCATTCACGCCGAAGACCCGATCGTCGGGCCTGCGGTATTCCAAGTGACTGTAAGAGACAGGCCTCGGCTGCTTTTGCCAAGTCCCTTCGCACCAGTTGGTCAAGTAGGCTTCTGCCTCGCGGCTCAAAATGCCCTGATTTACACATTTCGGTGCTAGAGCAGTGATGTTCTTACGAACCTTCGGGCTGATCGCTCGGCGATCAGCCGTACCTGTGGGCTGCTGAAAGCTGCTTCGCAGGTCTGCCGCTCGTTGAGCTGAGACAACACACGCCACATAGTACGGCGTGGCATCTGCCATAAACCGTTTTGCAAGAAGCATGATGTCTTCAGGGCTCGGTTCACATCCTGTGAGCTCATGTGGCACACACCCGCCATAAGAAGAAGGGTCCAGGTCTCCACGAAGACAGAAACGAACTTGGCCGACTTTGCCTTGGCTGCTCACTACAAAGCAGCAGCAATCGCTGAAAACAAAGCCAACACTGAGAATCTTCCAAAAAAGAAAATGCGGTTCTAAACAACTCAAGCTAGTTTCGCAGCCCCTTGAAGCGCAAACCCAGGACAGCAACCCAGTCCTGCCACAATGCCACAGAATCCAGTTTGACGCACGTCATGGTAACACTGGCAGTCTTGGCTCGTTTCCTTTCCCGTTCCCCAACATCATCTGGCCGATATGTGGAGTCTATCAACTGCACAACCTCCGAAGCGGAATCAAAGCAGTGACGGCCAATGAATGCACTCTGCTGCGAGAAGACCTGGTCCAGGTCTTCATGGCCTCA